TGGAATAGAGCAATAACAGCACCCTCAAATTCAGCACCCCGTCCACTGTTAATGGTAGTGGGACTAAATGCCTTCCATATGATATTTTCACTGCAATAAAATGTGAGAGCTCTAATTAGGCATTCAATAAAGGTCCATGCTAATATTTGCTTTAAGACTAGACACCAAAGCTGGCAAAAGCACAGCAGTTAGCAATATAAACAAGCTGACAAAACATACCAGATGTTAGTTGCAATGAATAGGGAAATTCCAGAACCCAGGCCATATCCCTTTTGAAGAAGCTCATCTAAGCATATCACAATGATACCAGCAAAGCATAGCTGAATGATGATGAGTATCGCATTCCCTACTCCAAGTTGGCCTACACTTCCATACATCCCAGAAAGAACATAGGCAACTGCCTCTCCAACAGCTATCAAGATGCCAAGCAGCTTCTGTGCTCCATTTCTAGAGAAACAAAAAGTATACTTATTTTAAACATACAGTACACAACAATCTAGATGCAGATAAGGGAAGAAAAATTTATAACACTAGAGCTTTGCAGAGCCTCTGCAAGAAAATATTGCAAAAAATTGAAAGACAATTGGCAGCCACAGAACTCTGATCCCAATAAGTTTTGCTACTATTAGACGAAGCTACTTTATGACAGCGAACAACCACAAATGAACAGAGACACTTACAAGAGAGCACGATCTTCACGGACATTGTTGTCCACTTCAATGATCTTTGAACCAGCAAGCAGTTGCATCACCAGCCCAGAAGTCACGATAGGGGTGATCCCAAGCTCCATAACAGTTCCACGGTTTGAAGCAAGTATAACACGCATCCAATAGAATGGATCTGCACCTGTCGTTGAGTGTATTCCATAGAGAGGGAGCTGGCTACAAACCAGGAAAATGAACAGCGAAATTACAGTATATATGACCTTCTCCCTAAATGGAATTTTCCTGTCAGCAGTCTGCACTTCAGGCAGGAAAGAGAGAAACGGTCTAACTAGGTGAAGCACTCTAAACCCACCTCCCATCTTATGGAGCTGCACAAGTTCAATGTGACGGACCCATGTTAATTAAAATATATAGATACATAAAAGGACCATCATAGCATTCAGCAAAGCAAATAGAGGAGAAGAATTGGATAGATGAACAAAATAGTGATGATGAGTTAATGATAATAATGATGAGTAACAAAAGCAGCAGCAGCAGTAGTAATAATAATAATAATAATAATAATAATAAACATCACTTTCAGTTTTGAAGAACGTTCGTGATTAAATAGATTGTCAGCTCTACCAGCAAAGCAAGTCATAAGCTTCAATTAGCCAAATATGCTTAATCGTCGACATTAACCAAAAAGTATATTAAAACCCAAAGAGCAATCAATGGCAAGTTTTCACCGTCAACGTAGCTGATCTACAACTACGACGGCAAATACATGTGCATTAGGTATTTAGGTTGTACAGATCATGCAGGAGCGTCAAACAAAAAACGAACACCAATCTAAATGGATATCCAAATCGAAAAATCAAACCCCGCAGTACCGATCAATAATTCGCATATAAGACAATAAAAATCACGCAAAAAGCATAGTCATCAGCACGAAGCCGCACAAGGGTCGTCAGAGAAGATAAATAAAGATCGAAAAGAAGAACAAGAATCCGAATTGAGAACAGATCTAAGAATTTTCGGGGAGGGAACAGGGTTTGAGGGGAAGAGAGAGATTTACCCAGATGAAACCGCGTGTTCAAAAATGGAGGTCGAAGGAGAGGTAGACTCAGATTCAGAAGGAGGGAGCGACCGGATCCGATGACACAGATTAATTATTTAATATATAGAGAAGGGCTCCTCCGGCGGGCTTGGTGCTTGCGTGCAGAGAGCCAATCACTGTCAAACGCGTTTTACAAAGGAGGGAGGCAGATATTTTAGGACAAGCAAATTCATTTAAGGTTTATTCACTTCATGTTGTCTTTTGGGAATTTACTTAAAATCCATTCAATAGATAAATCGATAAATATTCTAATCATAATGATTTGGTTTGATAATATTTAAAAATTATTAACATATATTTTTTAAAAAAATTAAATTAACCATTATAATTATGTCATATGACAAGATTTATGTTTAATTTGTAATTTGTAATTTTTAATTTAATTAAATGATTATTATTATATTATGAGATAAATTGATTGAGTAAATTTATAGTTTTATATTACTCATTCAATCAAAGATCTTTTTTTGGTATAATATTACTTTTTTTTTCTTGGTAGGGTTACTATTTTATTTTGTTTCAATTAAAATATGATAAATACATGCTTTTTGATGATAATATAATATAATAATAAACTTATATTTAATTAAATGTAGATATATATTTATAAGAATCAATACCATATAATTAACGAATTTTAAAAGCTGTATGATTAATCATGTATGCTTTTTTTGAGCATAGTTTATTTTACTGTTGATATGGTTGATCATTGCATTGTTTTCGCTTGTTTATCTGTTTTTGGGGGGTGTGGCAGAATGAGAAGCCTTATAAGGGGGAGGAAGCATGTAGGAGTGACACGTGAGAACTATTTTCATTGAATGTCTAAGCGCTGTAATGATTTATCATATCCACAAGCAAGTGTTTTTTTTATTAATACCACGTGCTGCGATTTTTAATTATGCACACAAAATGAGGAAACCATATTCATACTTGTAAAAGTCACACCTCGTTATTTTTTATTTTGCCATGTTTATCGCGGGAGGGCATGGGTATGCCCCCAGTGTATGTCAGTATGTGTTTAGCCGCCGTCTGTGACTATCATCATCGTCGGTTTGTTCCAACGATTTTGTACTTTTATTTTCTTTTCTTTTCTTAAAAAAAAAAATCATCACAGCGATCGCGATCGAGGAGCCGTTTATTTTAGTTTATTTCATAAAAAATTACTTTTTTAATTTATTTTGTAAATTTTTAAAAATAATCCTGATTAAAAAAGATTTTTAATTATTTTAAAAAGTTATTTTAAATAGCTTCTGAAAATAATATAATATAATAGATTAGAGAAAGTATTTTAAATAAGTGAGATATGAGAAGATATTATAAAATTTTAAAATAATATAATAATAAATTATTTTTGTAAAACAAAAATAACAAATATCGTACAATTTAAAAATAATTAATTAATAATTACTTTTTTATTATCATAACCAAACGTAAAATAATACTTTCTTTCTATAAAAAAAGATTTTATAAAAACAGATTTATTTTGTGGATATTTTATAAAAAGTAATCATTATTTTATGTTTAGTTATAATAATAAATGATTATTAATTAGTTTTATAAATTTTATAGTATCTTCCTTAATTTTTGTTTTATAAAAATAATTTATTATATTATTTTAAAATTTTATGATATCTTCACGTTTCTTGCTTCCTTAAGATATTTTTTTTTTCATCTATCGTATTATATTATTTTCAGAAGTTAAAATCATTTGAAATCTATTTTTTTTCAGATTTTATTTTTTTAAAAGTTTAAATAAATATTATAAAAACTCAAAAAATATATTTTTTTAAGAAAATAAGAACCTTTTGGTGAAAAAGCTAAAATAAACATGCCCGAAAAGTGCTAAAAAAACTTAGAAGAATTAATGTAATAGGATTGTGTTAGATACTTAAAAACAATCATTTAAAATACTGTCAGTTATCTTCTTATTAAATACCTTTTTTTAATCCACTGTTATTTTCTTATTTAAAATAATTTTAATTATTAAATATAAATATCTCTTTTAATAAAAATTCAGACTTAATTCATTGGCTGTTTTATTAAACCTAACTTTCATGATATTTGTATGAAAAGTTGGCAACTCGATTTGTTAGAAGACAGCAACGCAAAAAAGCCCATCCATTTCCCTCTGCAAGCCATTTATAAGTTTTCAACTGTCTCCCGAGCTCACTCCATAAAGCATCAGGCCCATCCCACACCGTCAATTTAAACCCATTCATTGCTCCCATTCCAATTCATCCACGCGTTTTCCTCCGAGGATGGAAATATCCTTTCAAATCTTATTTATAAGATAAAAAAATAAATTTATTTTACTATGATTGTAAAGCATATCATTAATATTTTTACAAATTTTCTTTTTACTTATTCTTAAAAATTGGTTTACATTAATTCTTTTGGGCTTTTTGCTTTTTTTTTATTAATAGAGACACATTTAAAAATTTATTAAATATTTAGATAAAGTCAATATTTTTTTATTTCAATAGAATGTATTATAAGTAAACATGATAAAAAGCGTTGGAAGTAACATCCCATGAATAAATTATTCTCTATCTTTAAAATATAAGACATTTTCAGTTAACTAATATTGGCCTAATGTATTAAAAACTTTTTAAAAAGTTAATAATATTAAATTATTTTTATAAATATTTTTATTAATTTCATTTTAGAGAGATTATATAAAAAAGATATAAAACATGATTAAAATAAATTAATTTAAATTATAAAATAATCTTAAAAAATAGTGATATCTTCTTATTATTTTAATTTTTAATTTTATTTATAAAAATCACTTTTAATTCATTTATAAGTATTGCTCTTTTTATAAAAAAATGTAAGAAATTTTTAAAGGGGTTGAATATTAAAAAATGTAAAGTATTTTTAATTTTTTAAGATCTAATCATTACAGTTTTTTAAAAAATATTCTTATTAAATAAATTATTTTATGTTATTTTAAGATAGAATATCTTATTGAATGAGAATAAATATAAAAAAATATGATTAATTTAAATATAAATAATTATTTTATTTTTATTAAAAAATAAAATTTATTAAAAAATATTTTATATTTTGAGAGGGGGTAAATGCAATTTGACCGCGGGACATTGGAAGTTAAAACAAGTGTCATCTGCTGGAAGAGCAGATCACAGGATCAAGAGGGAGGACCGACGCAGAGAATTAAAGTTGGACTGTAATAAAAGCGTTTCATCTCCTTTCCTCCTCGAAAAACTCACTTTCTCCGCGGGCTGGCAAAAGACCCAAAGTAACCCCAAAAAACAAAAGAGTACAGAAAAGACTCAAAACGCATTCCAGAAAGTGACGAGTGTGTGTTGAGTTGAAAGGCGATGCGAAACACACCAGTGGCAACGCGCCCAGTTCCGCCCATATTTCAGGTTTTGCGCCGTACTGTAGCTGTGTGCTGAAGAAGAAGTACCCTCTTTCAGTTCCCACTTGCGGCCCCCAAATGGCGCATCTGATCCTGTTTTTTCAAGCACACCTCTGTGTTTGACGCGCGTCATTTTCTTCTTTTATAGTTTCGTCCTAAAGCCACTCACTCTCTTCCAATCTCTGCTTGTGCTTGGATTGTTTCGTGAACCATGAGAAATTACACCTTATTGCGTGCTTTCATGGCACTTGCTCTCACTTATTCTCTTCACTTCCATGCTCAGGCTGCCCCTGCAGGTGACTATTGCTTCCTATTTTGTTATCAATTCGGGTTGGATTTTACTGATCTGCTTTCCCAAATGAGTATGCTGAGTCATCATTCACGATAATTTTGTGCTTTCACCCTGCTATTGCTGGCATTTCGGTCTGATTTCTTTCTTTTATCTCTTCTTTATATTAATGCTGCTAGGTTTAGTTTATCAAGTCAATCTCCGAGCTCATTCGTTTGCCGTTTTCTTTTAAATAAAGAAGGTTCAACGTGATCTGTTTACTGAGTGGGTGTGCTCTGTTTTATTTTTTATTTTTTTTTGGGTTACTTTAGCTGAATAATGTGAATTTTTTAGGACCATTGATTAAGCACATTTCTTCATTTCTCAAATGGACGAGGTCGACCTCTAAGACGCCTCAGTCAGGTTAGATGTTTGCTGTAACAATAATCGTTTCGTTCCGATAATAACGTTGCCATCTTTATACGATGATATCCTTGTATTCATGGTACGACTGTAATTCGCAATAGCTTTGCAGATGGCAATGTTCTGCAATTTGAGAATGGTTACGTTGTCGAGACTGTGGTGGAAGGAAACGAGATTGGGGTCATTCCTTACAGTATTCGTGTCTCCGAGGATGGTGAACTCTTTGCTGTTGATTCAATAAATAGCAACATTGTCCGAATTACACCGCCATTGTCCCAATGTATGGTTTTTTCTTGCCCTTTTCTTTTGTAACTACTATGAAGTTGGTTGATAGAACGTGACCATTCTGACTGATCCAAATAATGAGGCATTGATACCTTTGTACCTGTTTCGCCTGGGCATAATAACTGGCAATATATTAGATTTAATTTAATTTTCCTTTTTTTTTTGTTTTTTTACTTTTTATGTTTCTGCAGATAGTAGGGGAAGGCTGGTGGCTGGGTCATTTCAGGGTTACACTGGACATGTTGATGGGAAACCAAGTGATGCTCGTTTTAATCATCCCAAAGGCATCACTTTGGATGATAAAGGGAATGTTTATGTTGCAGATACTCAGAATCTGGCCATTAGAAAGATTGGAGATTCTGGTATGTGCTAACTGAGTTTCAAAGATTTCAGGGTCTAGGCTAGAGTTTAAACTTTAAAATCGAGATTAAAATGACATATTTGTTTCTGACAAGATTAGAATAGAGTTTAAATATGAAACTCAGTTGCAGAAATTCAATATCAACGTGTTCTGTGTTATGCGTGCTTTGAGATGCAGTCATGAAATATTCCTGTCCTCAATAAGTTTTCAAGAGATATTGTTTAGAATGAGAGAACTCGAAGATATATATGTGGCACTATGGTTATTGCTTTCACTCAGAATACTTAAGCCAGAAGATGAGGAACTTATCCTGCATTTCAAGCCCATAGTTCTACCTCACTAGTAGGCTGAATGTGCGACTTCCATGATCACTTAGCTACTCACAGATGAGATCGTTATCTATTGAAAGAACATTATTGAAAATTGTGTAAAAGTAATACTACTGAGCGTTGACATTTGTAATCATTTCAGGTGTGACAACCATTGCTGGAGGAAAGTCAAATGTTGTAGGCTACAGGGATGGCCCCAGTGAGGATGCTAAGTTCTCAAATGATTTTGATGTGGTTTATCTTCGGCCAACTTGTTCCTTGTTGGTCATTGATAGAGGAAATGCTGCTCTTCGACAAATATCTCTCAACCAGGAGGATTGTGACTATCAACATAGTTCAATTTCCACTACAGGTAAGTTCTTGTCATTTGGTTGTCAATGTGATCATGATCTAATGTAAAAGATGATAATATTCTTTCTGATCTTCCAAACATTTCAATGCCAAGAAAATCTTGAATGACACCAAAGACTTAAGGTCCTTGCTAGATATGATTCTGATTTTGTTAGCATCCTACACAACAAAAACAAGGGAAAGAAGAAACAATGAAATGAGATTAAAAAAACATTGAAGTTTGTAATTGTGATTATGGAGAAAGAAAAGAGAAAAAATCCTAGATGTTGGTTGTATGCCATGAGATTTGTTTTTTAAAACACTAGGAACATTGGTTGCTGGCCAATTTCTTTTCATAAGCTTACTTGCTCTGCTTTTGCAGAGAACGAGCTTCAATATGGTTCCTTTATTGGTTGCATCTTAATACGGAATATCTGCTTTTCTGTTCTGTTTAGACTTCACTGAGAAATACATTGTACTGCATTTTTACTGGTGAATTTAGCTTGTGTAACTGAGGTGCCTGCTCCATGCTTGTCTTTGCTCCTTGAGTGGTTTCATAAATCATAATTGCAAATGTGAGTTAGACTAGCAAATCTTAACTTTTGCTCGTTAGTCTTTTGAATTATTTGCCAAGACTCTACTCTTTAAATGTGTTCATCACCTACAATATCTTCTTATTAGTGAGGTTTTCTGCAGATATTCTTACAGTTGTTGCTGCTATCATAGCAGGATATGCCACATGCATCCTGCAGCAAGGTTTTGGGTCCTCTTTCTTCTCCAAAACGGTAAGTCTGTTTTGCTTCCACAGTTGTAATGAAAATATAAAATTCAGGGGCATTTGACATTTTAGTGACAACATCACGACTATCGCAAATGTCATTATGCTTTGTTTCAGAAACCTCTGCACGCTGATGAAGAACATGACTAGTGTAGCTGATACCTTGTTCATGCATTTAGAAAGTAAAAACATTCAATTTGACTGGTAGTTTATTTTTGGCCATGGAATAATTTCTTTCTTGTCCTACTTTTAGGGTTGTGGGGGCAAAAGGTAGTATTTTCCTCTCCATTTTTTTACCCATCCTTTTGGTGCTAATTCTCACTGAAATTTTGTGTCGCTGTGTATATAAAACTAGTAAGTTTGTGTTCATTTTAAAATATATTGCATCTTGCTGATTGGCTGATTACACTGCATAAATGCTGCAGCAACGGTCAGGGGGAGAATTCAAAGGCCAAGCAAACAATGAAAAACCTATGTCGATACCAGGGAGTGGTAAAGACGACCCAGGATGGCCATCTTTTGGACAGCTTATCATTGATCTTTCTAAGCTTTCCCTTGAAACAATGGTTAGTGCGTTTTTTCAATTCATACCTTCACGTTTTAGATCTGACAGCCCTGAGAGAGGCCTCACACCATTAAAAGATAGTCTTCGGATGCCTGAGGACGAACCAGAGTCCCCATTGGTCGATAGGCAGAGTGCTCCTGCTCCTGTCATTGAAAATAGACAGATCCATACACCAAACACAGCTGAGAAATATTCAGAATTGACGCCCCACAAAGTAAAATCAAGCAGTTTCAAAGATCCATCCTTGTCCAGCAGGCACCGATCATCAAAAAGACAGGAATATGTTGGATTCTATGGATCTAGTGAGGTTCCACCTTACATCAAATCTAAGAGCCAAAAGGAAAGGTCTAGACATCGGCAGCGAGAGAAGAGCGGGGAAGTGGGTTATGGGGCAGTTGGAGCAGAGCCAAAACCTGTTGAGATGAATGCAGTTGATTATGACAACCCAAAGTTTGACCATTATAATTTGAGGACTAAGTACATGCCTGGAGAGTCCTTCCGTTTCAACCCTTAGCAATGGAATAGGTGCTTCATATTTTTTTATGCCCATGACATTAAATATGTGCTGTAAGGCATAGATTCTGCAACTTATTCTGTATTATGGAGCATCTATTCTGCAATCTGCATTGAGCAAGCCAGTTAAGAAATGGATAAATTTTTAGGCATGTGCCGGAAAGGCTTGACTGAGCAGCTCAAACAATCGATGAAGCTTAACAATATATTAGGGAGGAAATCTTTAAACTCAAATCTTTTTCAAATAATCAAAATTATTACAATTTGTTTATGAGGGCATTATCGATTCTTCTCAAAAGTTATTATTTGGTCTTGACTATGCATGGTAATTTTAAGAGGTAGTAGTGGTGAATTTGAACAGCAACATGTGACAATGTGGGTTTTTTTTATTTTTTATTTTTTTAAGACAAAAATTGAAGGTTTTTATATTTTTGAGTCTTAGAAGAGCCTCGTATTCACCAATTTTTATCCCACGTAAATTTGCCTCATTGTGTGCAATGCATGGGTCTGTTGTGTGGTTATGTCATACTTACACATGATGCGTGGAGGCGAAATTCTCAAAAGAAGCAGTCATGTGAAGGTGGGTTGTCAACTAGCAATAACGTTTCTCAAAAATCTGGCAACAATAACTCAAAAGAAAATGTGGTTTTTCTTGGCCAAATATGAAAAGGATGGGTGGTTGTTCTATAGTTCCTCTCTGCCATTAGTTTTCTCTTCTTTCTTTTTGGTTTTCTCAATCTCTCTCTCTCACACACACACTCATATATTTATAAATTATAATTGTTAATGGCTTTTAAAAGGTAAGGTCGGACTTTCAGCAGCACGAGCATCTTGTTTAAACAGTGACTTGGATGAGCTTTCAAGTCATCTCGTGAAATTCATGTAAAAGCCCCCCTTCCATTAAAACTCGCACTTGATCGCTACACCCAGAAAGGGAAAAAATTATTAGAAAATTAGTTAATTAAATTAAAAAAAAGGGGGGGGGGAGGAAGAAATGTGGTATAAAACTCGAGAGAGAGATCTCTCACTTTAAGAAAATATTCAAATTCAATTCTTGAATAATGAAATACAAGGAGTGAGGCTTTATTTATACTAATTTCAAACAATAACGTTAAAATTAAATGGGGTTGCACAATTTATAAAGGTTATGATAATTCATGAGGAGTTATGTAATTAATGAAATAATTGTTAGAATTCATGGAGAGTCATGGAATTAAGTTTATGAAATTCCATGGAATTTTTCCATTTCAAAATGTTTTCAATTGATTCACATATAAATTTTGTTGTCAACAATTTTCATGTTATTAATGGATAGCATGTCTATGTTAAGCTTTAAAAATTAATTTGATTAAAACTTTTTTAAGTTTATTTATTTATTTATTGGGACGCATATTGTATGTGATCCTTGAGAATTGAGATGTGAAGGTGTTTTGGAAGTATGAGGAATGTTATGTTGAATCTATCCAATGACTAAAAAACAACAGCCACCAAGTCCCCTGTACCACTGCACCTCTTCCCCGAAATAGAATTTTTATTAGATAAATGATATTTGGTTTGGAAGTATTATCACCGATGATATCTTACAGTATTACTCCACCTATTGATCATTTAGTAATTAATCACGTTAACAAGTGTAGTATAATATTTCTTTTTTTTCATGCCACTTCCATTAATATTAATATTTTATTTATTTTAAACAACACTACATCAAAATGTCACGAATGGCTTCACATAATATTTACAATTTTTCTTTCGTAACAAAAGTAATATAATGCATCATTGTCTAATAGTCTTAACCTTATAAATATAAGTACTATTTATAATTTTAATTTTTAATCGAAAAAAATTAGAAAAGTATTTTTAGGAAATTAATTTAAGGGATGGATTTGGAAGACGGCGCTTGCTATTTACCCATCTGGTAATGTCGCGAGCCCGTAAAACGCTTCATCCTCTTTGACTTGCCGTCTCAGTGAAGCTCATTCTAGTTTCAAGTCTCTCCCTTCTCTTTCGCTCAGCTCTTGTTTTGCAATGGGTTGTGCAGGATCCTCACAGTCTAAAGCAGAGGGTGAGCCTGCTCTCTCTCTCTCTCTCTCTCTCTCTCTCTCGCTTTGATTTCTCGGAATCCACACCTTTGTCTTGACACTCATTTTTAAAGAGCTTCAGAAAATTGATGTTCGGTTCTAGTTAAATCTATTTTCTTCCTGCGTTTTCGCTTGTTAGAGATTTCGTTATACTGGTAATTGCAAAATCCCTCGTTAATTATGCCATGTAGCGGTGCTGGAAAATCCAATTTTAAGAAAAAGAACTTATCTCCATGGCGTACTGGTGTGCGGAAAAAATCTGTTTGGTAAACTTTTGCCACATTCTGTGAATTCCATACTAAACGTCGATCTTCTTGAATTTTGTTTTCCAGGAAATTTTTGTCGGTACGGTATTTCTTTTAGCCGCTTGATTCTTGCTTTAAGAATGGATATCTTCGGATTTGATTTAATATTCCAAACCATGAGTGCTTATAATTTTAGGGAGCTTCTTTTCTTGTTTTCTGTGTTGAAGATTCTGTTATTGAAGTGGGATAGCAGAAGTTATTTGGTGGATCTTGAATTGAAGATGAAAATTGTTTGTTGTTAATTACCCTGTGAAGCTGTCTTCAAAATTTAAATGCGCGTATTTGCCAAGGGTTATGAAATGTTTAAGTAGTTTACTGTAATTATTTTTTTGGACGCTAGAGTATTATAATGGAATCCATGTGCTCCGATTACTGCTGATTTGAATCTGAGAATTAGATCGACTTTGAATTATGGAGGAGTACTGGAGCATCATAAGATGTCAACCATCTTTTTCCTCAATCATACCAATAATGTGTAGAATGTTTTATATTAATTAAAGTTCTTCCCTATTTCTAGGAATCAGCGGTCAGTCAACTTTCCTCTGCCTATCATTTGCCAATGCTTAAATGGTGGAATTATTATCTTACAGCTTCTTGTTGATGATAACGATCAAGTTTTAGATTAGTTCTTTATGTCAGTTTTACTCATGATGGTGTAAATTTTGAAACAATGTAGGTGGGGCTGTGAAAAAGATCCGAAAGCCTAAGCCATGGAAACATCCTCAGCCAATAACAAAGACTCAGCTAATACAGTTACGAGATGAGTTTTGGGACACAGCTCCTCATTATGGTGGTCGTAAAGGTATATAATTACAATATTTCAATGAATGGCAAATCTTGAAAGGCTGCAAGGCTTACATACAGAATTGGGTTTTAGGGGAAGGGTTTTACTTTAATCAACATATTTACTCCCCGTAGTTAATCCATAATTCTGCATTTCTTTGGATTCCTGCAATTTTTTTTTTTTTGGATGTACGTCAATTAGATACCTTTCCTCAATGCTGTTAAAACTTTTTATGTATAGATTTCTGAATACTTCAACCTCTTCGAATATGGTTATTTTGAAACTGTTGCTATCCTTGCTGCCAGGGTGTTTGTTATACTTCAAAAGTTTTGTTTGAGAAGAAAGGATTTACTTGATATCATTTTGAGTCTGTTCACTCCCCATAATTTTCTGTATTTCATTGATTTCCGATATTTGGATTCCATTTTTACTGCTTTTAAATTCTTTAGCCATAATTTGCAATTTGCACCAATCTCTTCCTGATGGAGAGAAGGTAAACACGTGATAGAATTGGAAGATGATCTGTTTTCTGATGGCCTTGTAGTTTCTTGTATGCTTTTCCTCTTTTCACCAAACATAAGCTGAAGGTTTTGTCTGTTTTTGCAATACAAAATTGATGCCTTTGATAAAGAATTAATTCCAAGTTGATACTCTATTCGTAGATGTAGCTAAAAGCCTGAGGGTCCACAAAATATCCTAGTTCGATAATGATTGTTAGTCCCAATGCTATATTGAAGTTTATATTTCATTTTATTGTTGCATTCTGCATCAATAAACATGCTAGACATTGAGAGGATTAATGACTCATGAAGATGCAGTGGCCCAAGCCGAGTTTTGGATGAAAGGTAATAAATTCACATCAAGGAACATCTAAAAAAATGATGATCCTCACAGTCCTGTTTAATTGAGCTGTTACTGTTGCAAACATGAGGTAATTTTTGGGGTTTAGGTACTACTGTAAGGGTTGGCTTTTATGAATGCCGAGCAGGTGAGAAATACACAATTGTAAGTATGCAATCCCAAATCAATCATGATGACCATTTGGCTGGACAAGCAGGGTCAGTTTAGCTGGAGGATCCTCATTAAAATTAGGATTTACCACCTAGGAGATGATAACAGAGGATCCGAATTAGTTTGCTTATTTATGTGTTGCAATGTTGTTCAGTGTGTTCTCTATATCTTTGTTGTTGTTCTATGTCAAAAAGAACACCCACCTGAAACAGTGTCTCTTGCTAAGAGAAGTTCGTTATGGCCGGACCAATCATTCTTTTGAGTCTTATAACAGCAAAGATCACGAGTTTACGATTTAAATTAGTTGATTTATGTGAATTTCTCATTTCTGCATGGTAGAGATCTGGGACGCTCTTAGAGCTGCTGCAGAGGCTGATCTAACTCTAGCTCAAGCAATTGTGGACAGTGCTGGGGTCATAGTTCAGAGTTCTGATCTGACAGTGTGCTATGATGAAAGAGGTAACAAGTGCATGACTCGCTGCATTTGTTCAGTTACTATATTACTCAAAAAGCTTTAAATAATGAAAAAGCAAAACCTCTTGGTGTTACTTTTAATGATTTTGTTTGCTATACTTTGATATCTTCCAATTTTCCCGATTTTTGCTTCAAATGTATTGCAGGAGCAAAATATGAACTGCCCAAGTATGTTTTGAGTGAACCAACTAACCTGATTCGGGAGAGTTAATGATAAAAGAGAATGACTGGTGGGAAAGTGAATGTAAATCATGTATATTATTATCTCAATTGATCTGCCGACTTCCATAGGGGTAGCAACTTTTATTCCTTACCATCTCAACTTGATGTTTACTGTCTCTGAGTCACATGACACACTATCTCAATTGTTCAGTGAGTATAGAGGGTTCTTGATCTTCACCTTGAAATACGAAGACCGTCATGTTTTATTGTCCCTTCTCAAATGAAAAGCTATATATGGAAGCTAATTTTTTTTTTTTTGACAATGGCAATGTTATAACTGCTTCATAGTTCAATTAAATATTCAGCCACTAAGGGTGTGGTTGCCTTGATTTAATCTGAAATTTGGGGAACTTTAAAATAAAGTCTTGCCTTCCCTTCCCATTTATGTATTTTTGGATCCAAATACACACAAGAAGTCCAAAGTTCGCCTTTGATTTTGCAAATCTAGCATACCAGAAGGCTTGCTTCACGGTGAAGATGAGCGAATGACACGTTACGTGAATGGGCGCAACTTTTTAGGAGAGACTTTTGGGGATTGAGAAAGAGACAGGCGAGGTATGAGTTCTTGTTTAGATCGAGTAAGTTGGAAGTTGGAACAGGTATTTCTTGCGTAGCCAAAAGGAACAGTGAAAATTAGGAGGATGAGGAGTATATTTTCTTCATCTGTATTCCATGTCAAAGTCGTGGAAGCCATCTTTAAACATGGGTTCAAGAGATTCACCGACGGCAAATTAGGCACCTTGTCCGCTTTTGTATTTGTCTTTTCCATTATAACTGGCTTTTCAATGGCATGAATACTAGTATCACGTGTTCCACTGCAATGCATGAAGGACCACTTGGTGCTCATGCTTTAAGGAAAATTTCGTTGATTTTGATTCTAGGTTCTATGCTTTTTCGTTTCTCCTGATATACGTTTGTCTAGGCGTAGAAAGCCTAACTGATAGGCTTTCTTATACTGATATGAAAAAATTACACTTCGAATCTACAGAGGATATTTAATTACTGAGGTTTCATACAATGTACAAAATACATTTAAGTATCAAATCTTGTGTATTTAAAATTTGGCCAAAGGTATTTTTACAAGTGGATAAAACTTGCCCAACTGTAAATGCCGTTGGCCAAGTTTTAGGCACGCAAGATTTAAAATTTAAAAGTATTTTATACATTTTATGAAATTTTTTAATAATTAAATATTTTCTATCTTGCCCAGTGGTAAATCCCGTTGGCCAAATTTTAAATGTGTAAGATTTAAAATTTAGGAATATTTTATGTATTTTATAGGATTTTTTAATAATTAAATCTTTTTTATAAAACTTGGGTGTAATTTTCCCAAATATAATCGCATTCCTATCTTCCCTAAAAACACACCATTGAATGTCTCCAATCATTTGCTGGTGAAAGTTTTGCTTAGACTAATTCATGGGATAATTTTACAGCAAACTCTATTTGTTTTTGTTTATTGTAACATTAAAGCCAATTTAAAAATCCCATCTTAATAATTATTCTCCCAGAACACAACATAAAACATCTTTTAAAAATTTTACTTGATTCAAAATATAACATATTAGATAGCTTTTATAATTATTTTTTCAATTATATCCCTATATATATTCTTTTTGGGAAAATTATGTATTAAAATTTTAATTATTATTATTATTAAAGCTCTTATATATGATATTTAATGAGAGTATAAATAAAAAAATGTGAATATTTTTAAAAATTTAAAATTTTAATTAATATTATTTATAAATTATGAACTAATTAATTATAACTTATATTATGTTATGAAAGTATAAGATATTAAGGTAAAAATTTAAAAGAAACTATGGTGGTCATGTCATGCCCAAGATAGAAATCTCCGTAATAATTATCAATAACAAAAAGGGAGACACTTGGTCAAAATTTTTGGATAACCTCACTCATGAGATGGTTTGCAAAATTTTAGGCCAGCTAGACTACATATCAGAGGGAAGCCTCCTCCCTCTGCCTCTTCGTTGAGGCAGAGGCGCTGAGCTGTCTAAATTTAATAATATTAATTTATATTTTTAAAATAAAAAATATAAAAAAAATTAAGAAATAAATTTATCAATTTGAAAGTTTAGATGTAATATGAATAGCCCAACTTTAATATTAAAATTTTTTAATAAGTTTATTGTTCTGTCCAAAATATATCTAAAAAATCAATTTAAATTTTTAATATCGAATTTGGTCTATCCATATTAAATGTAGACTACAGATTAAAAAGTATATTTATTAAAGAAATTTTAATTTTTATGTATTTTTATTTTTAAAATATAAATTAAAAATTAAAAATTAAAAATTAAAAATATTAAATTTGAACAGTTTAAATTTACCTTTTTCTCAGAGACTTCCCTCAGTGGAGGGAAGCCGACTCCCTATATACCAAGAGTGTTCTCAGGAATAGGACAAGACCAAGACACACCCGTTTTGCATCATGTTTTGAAAAATAATAGGGATTGAATTTTTATCACTGTCTTGTTCCATCTCAAAAGTCATCTTATCCAATTAAGAATTGAGATAGGACCAAGATGGAATCAGGACAACTTAATAAAGCAAACAATATGAAAGAAAGGCTTAAATAATAATATTCATTAAAATTTTAAATCACATAACTTATTAAGTTTAAAACCAAAATAACATTAGTGCATAAATTACAATAATTTAAAATTAATTATTGAATTATATTAATCACAACTACTAGTGTATAACTTTAAAGTCAAGTATACATAAGATATAATACATTATGAAAACAATTACAAGTAATCTCTAGGCTATAAGAGAAACAATAATAGACAAATTAAATACAATATCAAATCATTATTATTTTTCTTTAGTTGAAATATGTTAAATTAGTACATATTTTGGAAATAAAGAAAGAATACAATATAAATAAAAAGTATTAAATAAATAGATACAAGAATAAATTGTATTAATATAATTAATATATTGTCAAAAAAAGAGATTACACTACACTACTTACTCTATATCATTAAAATTATCAACATAAAAAGCTTTTGGTTTTCAATAGGAATTCCACGTATTGAAATTATAATTAATATAATTAATATAGGTATAAATCATATTAATATAATTAATATATTTAATATATATTTTTAAAATAAAAAATAATACACATGTATATATAATAGTCGGGATGAGACAGGATGTCTCGACGGCAATCACATGTTTCATCACGTTTTGTAAAGTTCCGTCCTAATTTTTTTTAGGCTGAAAAAGATCCATCTTAATATAACCAGGACAGAATCGAACCAATCGAGATAAGTACAAGGTTAAATGTCCTTACTATATACATTTAAATCCTTTTCATTTCACATAAAAAAAAGGGGCAAAATGTGTAAGCCTCACTTAAATGTGGACTACATTCAAATGCTTGAGATCCACTTGATAAACCCTATACCCTTAAATTGATATGATTTTTTTTTCTTTTTTTTTTGGGGGGGGGGGGGGGTTTGTGTGGATAAGTGAAGAAGGTGGAAAGTGGAAAAAAAAGATAAGTGAAGAGGATCCAGACTAGCCAAACGGAACGGAGAAATGATATCTGGTACAGCTATGGAAAACTCAATTCATGAGGTTGGGGTACGATCAAGATGTTAAAGATACTGGGATTAAATCCCAGTCTGAGCGGATCTGAGCAACAATATTCCAGACTAATACATGCTACAATTACAACATGGTAAAAGTAAGTCATCTATTTACCAGCCATCCTCGAGCATGCAGCACCACAACTGCAGAGGAGCTGAGAGCATCGGAATTCCAGCAAAGCAAAATTATCTAATTGGGCAGAATGGTTATCCATCAAAAATGATAGTTACTTAAGGCAAGAATCTAATGTATAATCATTATAAACTAAAGTGACGGGAAAAGATGTTATCAAGTTAGTTAGATATTAAGACTTCTAATAGATACTTGTAATTCAGATTATGATATGGTGTATCCAGTGCATTATTCGGGTTAAATTCTCTGTTCGACTTCCTCTCAAATTCTCCTCTGCTCCTCTCTGCTACATCCATTCTTCTCCGTCAATCTCTCTCTCTCTCTCTCTCTATATATATATATATATATATATGTATGTATACCTCTCTTCTGTCCGAATTATAAATTTCTATCAGAATCACTCCCGCTCATGTCTGTTGACTCCTCCGAGAAATTGAAATGACTAGGTGAAGGTATAAACTTGATCAAAGCCTCTCCTGCCAAACATGCAACATTTACATCAGCAGTTTTACGTGCAAGCCAAATTAATACCTTTCTCGTGAATGCCTTTTGGGCTTACCCTGCCTTTCCACTATATGTAGGACTGTAATTGTAAATGAGATTGTCCCGCACTTCTTGCGCAGGTGGTCTGTTGATAGATTTCCTAGCTTCACTGCATCCAAGTTCATGAAAAGAGAAAGCAAGTCAATTTAGTCAATAAATCTCAAGTGTATTTCTGCCGATCAGAAAGCGCAGCTCAACCAATGGTTAGGGTTTTCAAACATGTCCGCAGAAGCTTTACCCATGGCAATTTTCAGCTCATCAAAATGGCTTAAAGAAAGCCTCCACATTTCCAATCAATGAAAAAATGGCTTACACATGATTTTTCATAATCTTTTGTCATTATTGAACTAGCTATCAGTATCACTGTATAATTTCTGGCTAACGCTTTAGCTCAAGGTGCATATGAACTAGAAATTGTCACATTTCGAGTTGAATGGTGCTAACCTCACCAAAAAGTTTGCAACGTATTGAGTCACTTGGATGGCGTCCTCTGTGTGTGGGATTCTCGGTGAGGCCCATTCAAAAGCATTTTTCTGTGATACCATTTGAAAAGGATGTTGTTTCTTGTAGAATTAATTACAGAGTGTTTAGCAATAGAAGTCCACAATAAAACAATATAAAGCAAAGTCCATTCATGGCTCACCTCTGGATGCCATTGGAAGCCAGTCACAGGGTAGTTCCATGAACGTACCGTGGATACATAATCCTATTACAATTAACGATGATACATACATATTAGATTTCTTAATGAAGAAAATCTAGTAAGAAGTCGTGAGTATGTCAGGAACTTCTAGGGAATTTGTCATTCAGCTTTTTTACAATACCTTCTTGTCTTCATCCTTGGAAGTTGTCAATACCTCGAAAAAACTAGACAATTTTTTATTATCCAGAAACCTTCTTGGGGATATGCCCAACTGTCATGTTCAATGCCAAATGCAAATTATATTCATGAACGTAAAAAAAATACAAATCAAATATCTTCCCGAAAAAGCAGATAACCTTTTAATGTTATTTCTAAATTCTGGGATCAAATTATCCATGCACAAGCAGAATTTGAAGTTGTGAACAAGCGCATTTGTGAGTCCAGTACAGGTACTCGTTTACAAACAGGTAATTGGCAACAATATAAAAACTCACATGATGATTTTGCATGACAAGACAATCAGTGGCCAGTTTCTTTAACAAATGTGCAGGAAATCTGCGGGAAAGAAGAGAATCTCAACTTACATATCTTGTCTCCGTACTGATTTATTTATGGGGCAAGAAATTGAACATACCGAAAATTAAAATCTTCAGAAACACAAATATCATAATAATTAAATCCAGTGCCCTCTGTAGTGGAAGAGATGCCATAATTAATGAGCCAAGGCTAACACACGTTTTACGAGGCAAGATAGAGAAGGTTCTTTCTTTGTGGGTGCTGCGTTCGTTTGGTTATTTCTTCTTATTACTACTGAACTCAGCAGCCATTGGTCCTCTCTGAAAACCTCATTGTCCTATGTATGATATTTTTCTCGTATCTAAACTTGCTTTCAACATTTTAACATTCATTTGACATCAAATTATGAGAAAAGTTGACATTGCAACAGCAATATGTTAAGTAAGCAAATGTAATTAGCAGATCCCAGTGTTTCATTCAGCGTCCAAAACACAAAAAGCAGTAGAGATAACTTTTTTTTTTTTTTTGGGTAAAAACCGGTAGAGATAACTTTGTTTAAGCAGACAGGAATTTATATATGAAAGAGCTCCATGCCAAAATCAAGCTTAGATGAGCTAAATGTTTACTAAAAATGCTGCTTTGGGTTGTTTACCTTTCAAACACTGTTCCATCAATAGTTGCATTTTCTGCAAATTGGAGGGTACTTGCCTGATTTGTTGCACTAACTTCTTCAAGAATATTGTTGTCCTATCATCAAGATAAAGAACATAATTGTTTCACCACTACCAACAACATTTTAAATGATGGCCGAAAAAAGATTTTAAATGTAACGTTAGAATTCAGAGGTTTAAACTATAATACACATTGTATATATGCAAAGTTAAAGTTCATCAAGATCATCTAAATTCATGCATTCAGAGAGAGAGGGAGGGAGGGAGGGAGGGAAACAAATGTGACTATGTGAAGCCCTAGATTCACATCTTTACACCTGTAATCTCTTTTATTTTCATCCCTCTTTAAATGCGATACATACATTTATTTTTGTGCAGACAATCAAAACTATAATCTTCTAATTTCCTGCTTGAGGTGGTATAAACTAAAATTTGTCTTGGAAGAAATATTATGGAAAAAGAGGTTGATAAGGTAACAGAAGAGGACATCATATAAACCGCATTCATTCTATGAAACATCTCATATTTGATTATTTCAAATGTTTAGGTAGAGTATATTACCCCGGCTCATAGAAAAGGATTTGACTTATCCACACAAGAGTTTTCATCTTCCGAAGAGCAATATTGGAAACAAAAGCATCACAAGCAAAACAATAAAATCGCAACAAGGCAAATTTACCTCACTAACGATCATTGTTATCAGTTCAAAACCTAAGCAGGTAGCATATAAAGGGAAATGGTGTCCACCGTCATTTTTCTCCAAAACTTTCTGCAGCATAAATGCATAGATTAGCGAATCTTAAATTCAAGCTAGAATAACTATGTTAAGGAAAGCTAATTAATAATCAGTGAACAAAAATTACCATCAAGTCAGTAGTACTAATTGATAGTGCAATTTCCAATTTTCAAATTCCTCATTCAAGACATATCAAGATCACTCACACATGGAAAGAGAATTTCTAACAAATGCTAGGAAGTTACAAATGTCTCCAATCGCTCATTTGTGACGATTGGAAAAGGATAAGCATGTACCTTAAAAATTGTTTGAATTGTCTCGAAGTATAACCCGCTATTAGCCCACCCACCAGTAAAGAGCACTCCATTCACCAAATCGAGCTTCTGCAAATAGCGCGAGGATAGCCAATCAAGCACCGCATACGTGCCTTCGTCAGAAGAAAACAAAACAGACACTCGAATCTCATCTCTACGAAGTACTCAGTATCCAATACTCACTTCATTATGTCCTTCCACTTATAATAAATATCTCAGATTTAGTAACACTCTTTTGCATTCATCGCAATTTACTACTTTCTCTCTATTGTCTATACTCGCAGTCAAAACATCCACAAAAATTCCTCGCAATAGTAAAAACCGGATGGTCATTTAAAAGGATGAAGGGATGAATTAGGAGACCTTGAGAAGCCTTTCCGAAGGCTCTGTGTAGATAAGGGGAATAACTCTGGCGCCGGCAGATTCAACGAACTTGACGTAGGAGGCGGCAATATAAGAGGCATTAGTGACATTCGTGAGGCTTCCGGAGGCGCCATCTCCAGGGTGGCTGACAATCCCGATGACCGGCCGGTAGTAGAAGTCGGGGTCTGGGGCCGGGCAAGCGGAAGACGATCGTTGACTGGGAAGAAGAATCCCGTAGTGAGCCTCAGCCGATCCAACGAATTCCAAAAGGGCGATCAGAATCGGAATCCACATGTAGTTCCGCCAGCTGGTTGTAATGGTGGCAGAGAAGCTCCAGACGGCGTCCATCGCCATATCGGAGTGACGGGGAGACTGGGCCTTGGTAGCGCGGAAACAGCGATGATAAGATTAAACCAACCACACGACGAGTCGATGACAGTTGAGCTGTAAATTCGTTGAAAATACTTATAGTGCGCGCGGGAATGCGTGAATACATGCATACATATATATATATATATATATATAGACATTATACGTATTGTGGACCCAATTCTGAATTCTGACGATGATCCCATACCCGCGGATTCTGGATGCGATTTCCGTTTCTGAAAGTAAATTTCTCGTAGCTTGTGCATTTTGTCAATTCTCATTCGGCCACAACTTGCATATCAACGGACAGCAACTTTTGGCTCCTTGCTTTTATCCTCTCCTTCCTCCTCCTCCGTCAATCCTTCCTTCATTACTTCTTTTGTCTTTTATTTTCCTCTTTGATTGTTTTTCTTTTATCGTCTTTTCTTTTCTTCTGCTTTTTTTTCTTTTGGGGCAAAAAAGTACTTTTGGTGTTTAAATTTATTTTTTAAAATTTTGAAGTAATTTTCATTTCAATCCTTCAGTTTTATTAAGTTTCATCGTCATCTTTTATCTTTTAAAACACAATTAATAATTCCTAGTTTACAAGAAGGGAGGAGGAGTGTGAATACTCTATTTTGTCGTAGCTTCCTGAAATACTTTTTTAAAAATAAAATAAATAAAAAGCATTAATAAAAGGAGAAAATATGTTTTAATAGTATATAAAATAATATCTATAAATCATCTTTAAAAAATACTTTCCTTTTTTGTTTGACTTTCAAATCCCAACAATTAGGCCTTGATCTGAGTTTTCAATTGGGAAGGATCAAATGAAAATTCAAATCCTCACAATTAGGCCTCCATCTAAGTTTGGGGAATGTCAAATGCAAATTCGAATAACCAAATTTGTGCTTTGATTTAAAATGATAAAAATTAAATAAAATTAATTAAAATTTTTTGTTTGATAAAATTCAATCTTTAATGATGGAGACCCTAATTTTTATCTATAAAGGGAAAAGGAAGGTTGTGGATCAAAAAGGGGGAGGGAAGGAGGGAGGGAGGGAGAGAGAGAGGTGAAAGTTGAGAGAGCTTGAGACTTGAAAATGGAAAAGAAAGCTTAGAGAAGTAGCCAGAGGGAGTGGTGGGACAACTAGAAGAAACAAGTAAAAAATATTGAAAGGAATTTGTTATGCCTTTTGTTTGGCACATTATGTATCTAGAGTATTTCTTATGCTGATGAACATCAATATGAGAAAGAGGCTTGTACATATCCATTTGCTAGACACATTTTCTCTTCCTTTCATTTTTTTTTTTCATCTCTATAGATTGTTGGCAGAGCATTCCTTGTGATTTGACAATGGTCTCACGCATGCTCAAGAAATGAATTCAGCAATTTTGTGGCCAAGTGTTTGTCTCATTTTACGCTATCCTATACCACGCTTGTCTTGCCTTGATAATCACAGTTGCCTTGTTCGGCGTGTGATTGTTTTCAAGGATTATATTCAACGTCCTCATATCAACAATTATACATACATCTCTTTTATTTTCAATTTTCTTACCTATTTCAAATGTGTATTGTGCAACGGTACAAGTATTAATAGGCATGTGTACTACGTTGCAGCATATTTCATTTTGAGTAATGTTTTTAGAACCGGATCGGATATTAAACCGAAAAAGTCAGCAGTTTAGGATTCACATGATTCAACTGGGTTGGATCAATGGTCAAACCGATGATGTAATAATTAAATTTAAAAATTATATATGTATATAAAATCTAAATATAAGAAATACATATGAAATTGTTATTTAACTTAAAAAAATTAAATATTTTAAGTTTATCATGACTTAACAAACCACATGATACAACATAATATCAAACGATTAAAAAAATTAGTTATTTTTTTAAAAAAATTGATAGGAAATAAAAAAAATTTGAACAGTCCGGTTTTTGAAAATCCGATCCAGTTTCTAGTTCAACAGCCGGTTCGAAACGGTCCAACTCGACTTAACCTCTAAAATAATTTTTTCATGTAAACTAAATTGAAATCCAGACCGATTGACGGTTGGACCGGTCTGATTTTGAAAACATTAATCTTGAGAGATATTAACTAATGGATGATTGATGCATCATGTCACAACAAATCTGGTTTGGCTCCTTTTTCTCGTTGCTCCATTCATCTCGTTTAATTTAGTGAGATTACATGGCTTGATGGATTTGACCTTTGCCGTAACTCACATTTTATTTAGTTATTTAATTTATTTATTTTGATTTGCTCTTCTTTTAATTTTCCATGTTAACTCATACCACATGAGATTTTTAGACTCTTCATGATACATGGTTAATTGCTATGTCATGTATAGCAATGGACTACTGTAACCAATCAAAATGTTTAATTTGTATATAATGATCTTAAATCCATTTTTAAAGAAAAAAATAGAAGAAAGTCTTCTTTTATAAAAAATAAACAAATAGATTAAAAAAAATTTCCATACCATATGAGATTTTAGAATCTTTACAGGTATGAAATAATTGATTTTTGTGTAAAATTTTTAGGCAGTGCAAGATTAAAAAATGTGTTTTTTTTTCATGTTTCCAAAATTATTTATTTTGTATTTTGATGAACTCTTACATTTATTGATTTTTCTTTCACAAGAGATTGCCACAAGGAGAAATTGACATTGAAACCAATTAGTAGAATCACACTCCACTCAAGACGTAAAATAGTGTTAAATAATATTTTAGAAAGTATAGTATTTGACTAATTAAAAACTATCTCTCAGTATTATTATGCATAAATTAATTTAACAGTTATAAGCCAAATATTTTTAATACATGAAATACACAATTAGAATCATAAAAATGAAAATTTAAGAATATTTTTAATTTAAGAAGTTAAAAGTTACAACCTTAAGATGAATAGGCTTTATTTTATTTTAGATGGTTCGAAAATTTAATTATATTTTTAATATTTCGTTCTAATAAGAAAACTTAAATATTTTAATATAATATTTTTTATTTTTTTAATAAAAACTGAAATGCATTACAAGATAAAAGGGAACAGCCCGAAAACAAATAAACTACAAAAGGAGAGTCAAGAATTCAATCATCATCTATCGCTTCGGCTAACCAAGGTGGTATTATTGATGGGCCATCAAGTTGCACAAGGAAAGGGGCAGCATGGACCCCAGCAGCCACCTTTTGTGTTTTGGGCAAAGAGACAAAGAAAATGCTAGAATTCCATTCTGACACAATCAAAGATCTCATCAGGCAAGGGCAAGGCCATAATTGAAAAAACCCCATCTCTGGGTATCCGTCCAAAATTCACATATAAAATGCTAACTTTATTTTACTTGTCACTATTAATTAAGAATGTATTCAATAATTAAAATCTGATTAAATAATATTCCCTCTAATTTTATTTATAAATCTCATTTTAAAAAATTTATTTAATTTTATTTATAAATCATGATACGCCTTTTTAAATAATATTTAAGATGTATTTTTAAAATTACCTTTTATGAGAGAGAAAAAGTAACAGGATATTATTTTTTAAATTTTTTATATAGAAACATATTTAAAATTTTACTTATCTTTATTTCTTATATTTTTATTATATTAGTATTGATAAAGTTAATAAAAATGACTTACAAATAAGATGGGAAGGAGTATACTATATTTTTCATTATGATCAAAATGATGTTTCGCGTCTAGATGTTTATCCTCTTAGTCAGTAGCCACTTGTAACTGAGAATGGGCATATGCCCCTCTAATCGGAAAAAATTACATACCAGTAAACAAGTTTTTTTTTTTTTTTACACACCCCATCTCTCTTATATTTTAACACCCCTAATTCTTGATATTTTAAATTTTAATCCTATTCAAGTTTTAAATAACAATGAGCTAAATTATTATGCCTGTTCTTGAAACTATCATAGAGACAATTTATAAGATATATAATTATTAATTAATTTTTTAACTGTTAAATTATTTTTTCAATTATTAATATATATTTAAATAAATTTGCATCCTCTACCATTGCTCTTAGCTGTTGTTCTGTCATAACAACAAACATGCAGTAGATGTAGCAGATAGTAGGATTATTGGCTGCAAAAACATTGCATCCCCTAAAACATGCAAACAACATCAAGTGCCTTTGGTTTTCTTATATTTCATATTCAAAAAGAACTTTTAAAAATTTATAAATATTAAAGTTGTTTGGTTTCCTAAAATTTGACCCCAATTTCATTTTAAAAATACATTTGAAAAACTTTAAAAACCCATTTCTTTGACTCATTTTTAAGTAGCTTTTTGAAAGTTCTTTCAATATTTTTGTTATCTGATTCTTTTTTTGCAGGACTTCATCCAGAAACAAAGCCGAAAAAATGAGAGAAAAAATAAACAAGAAACTAAACAATGCATAAATAACAACAGAAAGAAAGCTTACTAAAACACACTCTATTAAATGATGTTAATAACACATGTTTATCAATTTTCTGCCCATACAAAACACCACAGTAAAAAATAATTTATCATATTAATTTTTAATATTAATGTATATTAAATTATTTATATAATTATTGTTCAATATCTCATAAAAATAATTTAATTTCTATTGCTTATCATTATTTTATTACAAATGTTTTTCCAATTTTTTTAGTTTTACATTATTTTATACAATTTTTATTATATAAATTACTCAATAAATTTTTTTCATATTATTTATACATTTTATTTTTCTTTACGTTTTTTAAACATTTCTAATACATAATACTTGTATAATAAAAATTATAAATTATTATAAATTAATTTCCTTTTTAGTAATTACATATTCAAAAGTACATTTTAAAAACATAAATCATCATTAATTCAAACAACTTTTAATTACAACATTAACTTTTAAAAAATTATATCTAAACATAAATTTTGATATAACTACTGATATTCACTTTTATTGAATAAACTTTTAATAAATTAACTTTTGATAAATTAAAAACCAAACACACATGATGATGTTCACTCAAAAAAATATAATGCAACATCATGGAACAATTATATGGCATGATTTATCGTAGTATCGACAAGCCATCTTTGGGGTGACATATCACCCGCTTTATTGTAGTATCCACAAGCCATCTTCTACCACGCGCTAAAATTGCAAGAAGCTGACACAGCTTCTCGTATCGTATCAGAGCTTCAGCCAAGGCAAAAGCACATCAAAGACCATCATACCGGATGTATATATATTGCAACATTATTGTACATAATAATTATGATATTCATTTGTTGATTGACATTCCGAGAACTTAGAATTGATTATGTGAAGATATAAACTTCGTCATATCCTTTCCTGCAACAAGGATTAAGACAATTTACATCAGCAAAGCAGGATAGTGCCTACCTTGTTCGCAAAATGCATTCTGGACTTACCCTGCCTTCCCACCATAAGTGGGCTTGTAATTGTAAATGAGATTGTCTCGCACTTCTTGTGCATCTGGTCTGGTTGTAGATTTCCTAGCTTCACTGAAGGAGCAAACATGTGTAAGAGTTTTTCCCCCCCGAATTATACCTAATTTTTCCCTCACGAGAAATATTAATAGGTAGTACTACATGAATTGAACGTATCACAATTCCAGGCCCTGACCTGACAAAAAAGTTTGCAGCATGTTGAGTGACTCGAATAGCATCCTCTGTGTGTGGGATCTTTTGCGAGCCCCATTCAAAAGCATTTTTCTGTGACATCATTTGTAAAGCAAATTATGTAACTGAAATGAACTATGAACAAAACCCAGAAAGAAAAAAACTGCGAGCAAAAAACATTCAGGAATCACCTCTGGGTGCCATTGGAAGCCAGTTACAGGGTAGTTCCGTGAGCGCACTGTGGATACATAAACCTGATGCCCCAGTAGATGATGTTATTACATTTCATTCAGAATAAAGGCTGACAAGAAGTCATGAATACGTATATGTTAAAAAAAAACAACTTTTAACAGACGACACCACACGATACCTTATCATCTTCATCTGTGCAAGTTGTCAAGATCTCGAAAAACCCAGATAATTTTTCATTATTCAGAAGCCTTTGTGGGGATATGCCATACTGTCAACGCCAACACAAACAAATTATACTATGGATTTTTTTAAAAAATGTATCTAGTAAACTTTATTAAACCATTTTTTATTGTAAAAAAACAAGTGGATAAATTTGAAGACAACAATTAGCAACTAAAACAATAGAGATTTGAAAATGGTAGAAGACAGGGCATGAATCATTCTGTCTTCAGGAGCGTACATCTAAGATCCAACAGATGCATAGAACTCAGTCTCTGTGATGCAACACACACTCATACACACTTGCACAGCTCTGAACAAAGGGAGAGAGTTGGGAGAAATAGAAACAAAGAGGGAGAAATGAGACTGAAGGACAGAAGAGTAGGAGGAACAAGAGAGGGAGACGCAGAACGCAGAGAGAAGAGGAAGGCTATCAGAAAACCGGATCAACTCTTTCATTCAAGAGTCCCCTTGCAAGAGTAAAGCCTAATCTATTTAAACTAAAGTTGCTTACCTATTAAGGAAACCTCAATCACTCATCCATATAAAGCCAATTTTCAGATTACCTTCTACAAAATATTAAAATAACACAAAGGAAACAACATATTAAAAAAACACAAGAAAACCTATTTTTTCCTAGAATAATAAAAATTTACTAGCCTAGGCTTACTTCAAAATATATTATTCTTATATTTCATCACTCTGCCTCCCAGATATGGCAGATGAGTCTTTTATTATATATCAGTGGTAATGAAGACACTGAGAACAATTCATATGCAAGGTCACGCTGCAATTTGTGACGTTTAATAGGAAAGATCATTCTACACGAAAGTCATTGACAATATACTACTCACATGATGATTTTGCATGACAATACAATCGGTGCTCAACTTCTTTAACAAGTCCGGAGGAAACCTGTGGGAGAAAGTGACCATCAATTTGCATATCGCATATCTGTGAGGCCATGACTAAACAGACTTGAAGAACTTAGAAATTCAAAACATGGACGATTAAAAACATCACAAATGAATATATCAAAACAAATTATTTCTATGCGCTCTATAATGAAAGAGAAGCAATGATGAAAACAGGGCAGTGGCAACCAAGGTTCAAAACTGAGCTTCTAGAAAATTAACCAAAACAGTAAACAGAGAAACAAAATACGACTGTTTACCTTTGGAACATAGATTCATCAAGATTTGCGTTTTCGAAAAAATCAAGCGTAGTTGCCTGATTTGATGCATTATATTCTTCAAGGATATTTAGGTCCTATTATCAAGGAAAACAACAGCAAATCTTTAATTTCTTTTCCTTTTAAAGAGGGCTTTATATTTAGCATCAGACTCAGAGCTCACAACTGTTCGTAACATGTCATGAATGTTATTCTGAACTTTCAAAAAATGTTTTTTAAAAATAAAGCTCTCCAATTAGATATACAAGGAAATGTTTCTACCGTCATGCGTCATGCCGTATTTTTGTCAAACACTATAAGCAGCAATGCTCACAAGTCACAAGATAACAGGAAAAGACAATACATATTGCATCAACTGTACTCAATCTAAGAAAATCAGCCAAAAAGGAAATCTTAAGGCCGCAATTTACCTCGTGAATATTTTTAAAGTTTAGTTTATATATTTACTCTGCCTTACAATAGATGATTGCACCCAGCCACACAATTTTCATCTTCAGGAAAGCGATCCAAGTTCTAATAAACAAAATCATAAAAACTTATATAGAACCATAAGATGGGTAATTTACCTTGCTAACAATCATTGACATAAGTTCAAAACCTAGGCAGATGCCATATAAGGGGAAATGATTGCCATCATCATTTTTCTCCAAAACTTTCTGCAGCAAATAGCGAAAAACTTTTCCCTCAAATTACTAGTAATTTTCAAACGCATATTAGCCAGGATTAGAAATGGATAAGGAAATACCTTGAAGATTTTCTCGACAGTCTCAAAATATGATCCAGTTTTAGCCCAACCACCAGTAAATAGCACCCCATTGACCAACTCCAGCTTCTGCCATGATAATGGAAGACTGAGTCGTCAAACAAGCATCAAAAAACATGTTTTTCACTTCCAAGAGATGTTTCATCTTAATTAATTTTCTTTTGCGATTGCTCAGTTATACTATTGCCACCACTCAAAATATCACAAAACGAAAAGGCTACATCATTCTATTCATTCTAAAATTTTAACTTGACCTTTTACAAATCTATTTTACAAAATTATAAAAAGGTCGACATAATTTAAGAAAATTAATTTAATAAATTTAATTCAGACCATTAGATATTTATAAGTTAAAATATGTTGATGCATATGATTATTATGCGTGCTGATGGCCAAAAGATATATACGAATATAATTATTACCCTGTATAGTTCATACATAATCAAAATTTAATGTGGATAAGCTATACCTTATTATTATTTTTATTTTGATATTTTTATCTTAGAATAAACATGATGGAAACTGAAAAAATGAACTATGAAATCCAATCTAACGGATTGAGAAGAGACGTGCGCAAAAAATCAGTATCCATTAGCTTGGATCTCCCAACATCCCATGAACGACGTCCACGTATAATGCTCAATAAATTGAAAGTAAAATAAAAATTTAAAACTTCAAATAAAATGGGAAAATGTATACATGTTAAAATTTAAAATTTCACTTATCAATTGTTAATGTTTACCTGTCATAAGTCCTTCCTTCAATGATAATTTCCCAAATAAAATATAAAAACAAAAAGACATAATCGATGACCATGAAACATGAACCATCTATGATCTAACTATATTTTAACCATCTATACTTCACCAGAGGGGCAGAGAGGAGATGTGCTGGAGAACAGCAGCCTGCAGTGGTATCCTAGGGATCTTGAATGTTGAATATTAATTTTTTTACTGCCGTCAGAATGAGGGAAACCACTACCACTGATTTAACACAAAAAAAGTTATAATGTATTAATTTATAACTTGGTAAGATCTAAGATGCATTGTTTCCTTTATTTTCCAACGGAAAATTTTTGGTGGAAAGAACAGGGAGGAAAACTATTTATTGCTTCTTTAGGCTTCTGAGCTACGGTAGAAAGCAGCAATCAGCGATACATACCTTGAGAAGAGTTTCCCAAGGCTCATTAAAGATCAACGGAATAACTCGAGCTCCGGCGGACTCAACGAACTTGACATAGGAGGCGGCAACGGAAGAAGCATTGGTGGCATTGCTGAGACGTCCAGAGGCGCCGTCGCCGGGGTGCGTGATGATCCCGATGACCGGCCGGTAGTACAAGTTAGGGTTCGGGGCGGGGCAAGTGGAAGACGATCGAGGCAGCGAGTCATTGTGGCGCTGGCTAGGTAGAACAATATCGTGAGCCTCAGCAGATCCAACAACGCATCTCAAAAAGGAAATCAGAATCGGAATCCAAAAGTAGCTCCGGAAGGTGGTGGTGGAGAAGGAGGGGGAAGTGCTCCCCACGACGTCGTTGGCCATGCGGGAGCAACTAGCAAGGACGATGCCGATTCTGGGGGAATCCGAGTTACGGGAATAAGTGCTGACGAGCTTGACTGAATGGAATTGCCACAAGAGTAGCAGGAGCTGAAAAAAAGCGATACGATAAGATTTTTGCCCAAAAAAAAAGTCAATAAACAAAAAGAATATTAAAAAAATAAATGCACCACATTATATATACTTTATTTAATTAAAACATTTAAAATAATTTAAATAAAATAATGTATGATATCCTTCAAATTTATTTTATTATTATAATAAAATGTATATTTAATTTTTTTATTTTATTATTATTATTATTATTATCATTAAAATTAATTTATATTTAATGTTTTTTAAATGTTACGTTTTTATTACACAGTACGTAAACGACTTGATGCATCAGGTTTCAGAAAACATACCGACACGCGTTGCATCACAACGAAAGTGTGGGCCCAATGATTTGAGACGGGGCAAAAGCGGCAGGTCATTTTTTTACGGGAGTGCCTCGTCACTACTTTCCCTTTATTTCCTTTCACTTCTTTCATTTCAATTATTCATTAGTTTTATAACTTTAAAAAATTTAGTTAATAAAATAATATTCATTTTAAAAAATTTATTTAATAAAATAGTATGTGAGATTGAGATAGGAGAAGTAAAAAAAAATAAAAATAAAAAGAAGTGGAGAGCGTTTTAATCCTGCCTTTTCAGTCTTTGTTTTCGATCACGTTGATTAATTACTGGCGGACACCTTTGGGCAGGCATGCATGACCGCATGAGAGGAGAGAGAGAGAGATTGTAGGGGAGGGTAATAAATGAATAATAGACTATGAGTGGGTTCCACTGGCGGTTGACTAACTGGACTATCTCATCTTTGAGCCCTTTTACTTAATATGGGCATTTAATTTTACTTTTGTACCAAAACTTTCATTAATGTTGACATCAAATATACACATTATGCATATTAACAAATATATATATATATATATATAGGTCATGCAAATGGAAAGCACTCTATAACCAGTCATTTGCCCTCTTGTAAGAGACCCCACAGTAAAGGGATTAGTCACCGTTACGAGCGGTGGATAATTTGAACAATTGAAAAAAAAAATATACACATCATGACTGCCAGAGGTTAGTCTGAGTAATAAGTGATTCAATTTTATTTAAATAAGGTCTCAAATTTTAGCTTTGTGCATGCAAAATATCCCTGCTAAGAGACTTACCCAACATAGCTAGATGTGAGACTCGGGTTGGATTCAGATTAGGCAGGGTGAATGAAAGTGTAAGTCGCTTATGCTCCAAAATAACTAAATTAACACTAATATAATATTAGTGGCAACTAGGTTGTTTTTCACTAAAGAGGCCAACTAAGGTTAATTAAGACGAAACCAATAAGTTAAACTAACCAAGAATTGATTGATTTTAGCTAATTAAATTAAGTGGACAAATTTAATTAAAAACTTAATTAACTAGTGAAATAAAAATGCCGATGTTTTAACCCTTTCTAAAGTAGAGTCTTAAGAGTTGTAGGATGTTAGATTCCTTGTCCACTCTTTTTAATTAGGCTTAAATTAATTTTTACTCTCTTAATCAAATTAAACCCCTTACATAATTTTGTGTAAGTGTGTCTTTCTAATCAATTCAATTAACCAAATCTTTGCACAATTTTGTATAAGTCCTTAATCAATTTTTTAGTTAAGTGCAAAGTGATCAAAACTCTCCGTCGGTTCCCTTTATGTGTAGCTCAACCTATGGTAAGTTTAATACATAATTTTACACACAAAACATTTTATTAAACACCAACCAAACATATTTATACATAGGTAATGTAAGAGACATTCAACACACATAAAATATATATTTATATGAATTATAATGTATTAGAAAAAATTTTTAGTAATTACACAAAGGGAAATCAAGTGAGAAAATACTAAACTAACAAGTTAAATATCAATTTTGTTAATAAAAATAAGATATAACAATGCTCCTAACTTTAAGAACAAGATTACATTTACTTAGATTTAAAGGAGAGTAGTCATAACTCTCAACCTTCTTTAAGACACTTCAAAACTCTTCTAGCATCCTTTCCTCTTAACACTCCTTGTAAATTTAGCCTGTAGTCATCTTAGAACTCATTTGAGCACAATCTTTTTCATCATGGTTGAATCATACTCATAAACACATTAAGGATTTTGAAGTCAAATCAAGAAAATGAAGCTTAGGGTTTGAAGAGTGAGGTGGAAGAAGAAGAATGGTGGAGTTGGATTAAGATTTTAATGATTGGATAATGAGATATGGATGAGAGAAAATGAGATGGAGATGAAGAACATGAAGAACAATGGAGAGAGAATAAAGAATGGTGGAGGATGAAAAATGAGAATGAATGAAAAAATAAATACTGAAAATGAAATTAGGGTAGTCTGATTTAAGTCTAGGGTGAATAAACCTAACTTTAGTGTTAAAAAAATGGGTTAGGATAACTTTATTATTTATCATAGTAAAATAAACGAAAATTCAAATGAAAATGGTTTAAAAACTGAATTAAATAAAGCTAAAGGTAATGAAAAATTAAGAGAAAGAGTGAGTGGATTCAAAGTGTGATACCATGTGTGTAAGACCATGTAAGACTTGTATTTTCATGCCAAAACTCAAGTGTTTTGCCTTTTGACTCATATATTATTTCAATCCAATGGTCCTCATGTGCCAAATCCAAGGTGAGTAACTTTATACAAATAAATGTAATACATAAAATCAAAGTTCAAAGCATATGAATAATAATTACATTTTTAATTAAAATTAATTTTTAAATATGTGAAATAATGTAATTAAATAATAAAAGCTAATTATAACATTATACAAGAGCCTTTGGGGCATGCCAAATAGCTTAAAAATTGTAACCCCACACATGCACAAAAATAATCTAGCCTAAGTGCAAGAAAAATAAGTTAACCTGAAACTTTAACTTTCCAAAATTATCAACTTATAAAATTAATTACTCTCAATCTAAAAAGAATTTGAAAAATCTAATTAAACCATTGTTCTTTTGGACTAAAAATACATCTTCACAAATTTTCTCAAATATTTTTTCAAAAGTCCAATTTTATGATCAAAATACCCTTAATACACAAAATCCTTTACTTAGGTGATTTCTCACAATTAATACAATAAGTGTATAATTTGAGTAAATATAATATATTTTTTTATCAATAATAATAAAAATAGTGTGTAATAAATGGGAGTTATTAGTGAAGCTCTCCTTACAGGATGAACAACCAAAAAAAAAAAAAATGTTCACATCATGTGGGCTTCATTTAAGTTTTCGTCCTTTTCACGAAAAAGAGAGAAGCACATCGCTTATTTTTTTGTTGTCTGAAAATTAATGTAGGCTTGGAGCGTTATTATTATTATTATTTTTTGGTTTAAATGATTGTTGGAGCCTACTAACATATTTGTTATTTTTATCTCAACATTTTGAATTTGGAGAAGCCTCTGAGATATTTTTTTATTTATTCATAGAAAGTAGTTGAGAGATTTTCTGTTGACAATAAGAATGTGGAAGATTTGTGTCTTCCTTGGAATGATAGCGGCATGCCAAATCAACAGCAACATTGAAATTATTACCAAATAAGCATCCGAAATTATCTTGAAAAACAATTTTCGATATTTTCCAGGCCCTAATGTCATACTTCTCTTCGCCTACAGTAAGAGGTAGATTCAATAAATGGCAGAAAAGAAACCGTCCTAATCATTCCTTCATAATTAAATGAACACTTCAATTTTTTTGTAGAAATGTATTTAGTTTATTTTCCTTTTATCGTAATTACACACACACACACACACACACATCAATAGGTTGTATTACAAGTCCATCATATTGAATCAATATGACGTGGTAGCTATTCCATTCAATTGTTATGAGCAGCTATATATCAATGAAAATTGTAGACTATTATTTGAACAATAATAATACACTATGGAAATTAAAGTTACAATTATTTCATACTATTCTGTCTATAATGCGCTGGTGTGCAACACTAACTAGTTTACTAACCAAACTCAACTATTTTTTAATTACTTTTATTTAGGCCTGATAACCAAACTAAAACCCGTTTTGTAAAGCAAAAGCCTTCATCCGAGAACATGATACTCGAAATAATTAATACTTCACACCCCTAATTAATCGCTCTCAGAGACCACATCATATGCCCAAACTTTGCTCCAAGTATATGATCATTTGCCAAAACGTGCGAAGTCATCGAAATCAAAACACCTCATCAAAAGCACATCGTTCACTTCATGATAACAGAACATATCCAATGTTGAGGATAACAGAGTGGGGATATGATCATGATCATCATATTGGGACACGTGGTTTTGTTCCTCATCGACATCATGATCATCATGAATAATGGGAATATTGTTTTCTTGATCATCATCATGATCCTTCTTAGTTGAAGATGATGATAATGAGAAAACGGGGTGGTGGAAGCTAGTGTTGTTATTGAAGCTAAGTAACATGGAGGAGCCACCCGAAGCAGAAGTGAGATCCAAAGTCATCTCAGGAAGCATATGGTTTTTGCAAGAATGAAGGCCAAAATAGGTGGTTCTGTATAAGGGAGGCTTCTCTTGTATTCTCTGAACTTGTTTCATCGCTGAGCAACCTTCTTGCCTGTGACTGCACCTGTAGTAATTCCTGCATCCATACACACACATACACGTCATCTGAATTCAGGAAAGAGAGAAATTGAAGATCAGCTGATACAAATTAAATATGAATAGAATCGATTCGGACTTGAAGTATTTTGCATTTGTGGTCATTTTTTGTCCATATTTCCCATGCATACTCGTCGTCAATCAGAATTGGAGAATCTCTTTCCCATGTTTGTATGCTGCTTCTGCAAAATGAAAACAAGAAGTTCAATTCTGCCCACAACGTACAGAAAATAAAACAGTCGAAGTTCAAGCATTTATTTATTTTTGTTGTTATGATTGATCAGAGGCTTTCTCAAAAACTAGATCCTCGATCTCAGTAGATCTTAAAGACCATGTTTGGGATCTGAGAATACAAGTATAAAAGGGCCAAAAATGGTCAGAGATTTTTAGAGATGAACATATAATATATGTACGAGGATATGAATCCGAAAATTGTCAACTGTATACTGTGACATAATTATAAATATATAATCCCATTCAGCACGCTTTCAGCTAATTCCAAAGCATTTAGATTAGTTGGATGTTGCGAAAAGCACATGGCATAGAAGGCTTAATCTTAGATCAAAATTGCAATGATGAATATATCAGATCTGGAGAGCTACAAGTATAAATAATTCTTACTCTCTCTTAAAACAGTCTCTTGGGTCATCTGATTTTCTGTTGATGAATCTCTTGCAATTTACATCCACATCCCCAGCAACCCCGGATTCATGGGAAATATTCCTATCCGAAGAAGAATCAGTGAAGAAAGAGACATCATGGGATTGAATGTCTGCAGGATCGGTGGTGGTGTTCAAGAGCAGAAAGGTGTTGGTGAATGATCTAACAATCTCGGTGACAAAATCTTGAGCAAATGGACTTGTGACTAATAACAACGATTTTTGATCTCCTCTACAATTGGATCCATGACGAAGTTGTTGAAGCAACTGGTTTGTGAACTCACGCCCTCTGACAAGCTCCTTATCTATTGCCTGTTTCTCCAAATTTGTTTGGCTTGTGAGAGCAAGGTCTGGACTCTGCTGGAGAGGTCTATGAAGTGCAGAAAACCTGGGACATATAATAAGGGCGCGCGCTGAACCCACTCCCAATTTACATTTGCCATGTACGCGTGAGAGACCAGAGGCATTAATATTTTAAAAGGTAATTTACAGCTTATCTTGTCACTATCTGTCTTTGTTAAATTACATTTGGTATCCACGAACTCTGACATATGATTAATTAATTTTTAAATTATATATTATCTGATATCCAGCAAGTTAGAATCATGTACGTATTTTCAGTTTTAAACACGCTAACGAAGACATTTTTGGATTCACATATGCTTGAATTTGGTATCGTGTGTATAAAAGATTATAACTCCTTTTTACAGGCAAAATGTGTTATTTCCTATTTTTCAGTATGTTTATGTCTCTGTGAGATTTATGTTATCACTTGTTTAATATTGAAATATCTAGCCCAGGCACACATAATTATGATGTTAGGTTGACTCGAAACTGTTATTTTATTTTTGGTCCGATGTCAAGGAAATATATTTTAAAAATATTAGAGTATCCCTCTTTTAATAATATATAACATGAGTTATATGAACATTTTTTTCAACAGTTAATCAGTACTAAATATATATAGCATAGGACTAGATTCTTTTTAAGGTATTTTTTTTTATTTTTTACATATGACGTGTCTATACTAAGAAAATTTGGTTCGAAAGAAATTATCTATAGAAATCTTTTGCATTTCTTCACCAACATAATGAGTCGTTGGCAGAAAAAACATAATGAGTCTTAATTGAAACTAGTTACTCAAATCAACAAAAAAATATATCATTTAATTTAGTTATTAAGTCCCCTATACATTATTAGTATTAGTAATACTTTGTTAACTATCAATTATTAATTAATAGTACAAAAGCATGAGTGGGATGTTCTATTCATAACTAATGGGTTGCTTCTAAAAAATATTTTCATATGTATAATTAACAATTATATATATAAGAAAATAATTGTATTATACAACTTAAGAAAATCTATTAACGATAAAAATTATTTGTGAAAATAAAAAAGAAAAAATTACATATAGATCCTATCTGTAAAATCTAAAAATTATAACTAAGTCTCTTTGAATCTGAATGTAATTTAAAATTAAGATCAAAAAATAATAATGTCCTTGTTAAAAATATATTATATTAATCAAATAATTTACAACTTTTTTATAAGTAATTTACAACTAATACTTCATATATTTAATAGTTAAATCGATTATGCATTATTAAAAAATTTAACATTATTTCCTTTAGTCTTATTTATAAGTCATTTCTACTAATTTTATCAAGACTAATATAATAAAAGTATAAGGAATAAAAGTAAGTAAAATTTTAAATATAATTCTCAAGTAAAAAGTAACAAATGAGTCAATTATATAATTTTATTTTTTTATTTTTCTCTCTCTTACCTTTTAAAAGCAATTTGAAAATTTTAATTTAAAACAAAACAATTACATGAACAAGTAATTTATAAAATGAATTAAATTGTGCTTATAAAAAATGACTAATATATAGGATTTGCGGAGTAATTGCTTACTACTACTTCATAACTAATTTGTAAGTATCACTTTAACTTTTGATAATTATAACTTTACATATTTAATAGTTAAAAAATTTGAATATTTGATATAAAATTAGGGGCATTAATATCTATGCATTTTAATTTTAAATTACATTCATATTTCAAGAGACATAGCTGTGGCTTATAAATTTTATGAGATTTATTTATAAATAAGTCTACTCCATGGATCTATATGTAATTTTTTCAATAAAAAAAACTATCCTAAAACATTATTGCATTTAATTAAAATAAAATTTTATTAATTACTTTCCTGAATGAAAATTATAAATATATAAATAAATAATTTAAAAATTATAATAAATATTTATTCAAATATAAAATTTTACTTGCAAATAAAAATAAAATAACACGTGAGATTTCTCATCTAAATGGTCATGTTTCCATTTAAAAGGTTGCACCAATAATAAACAAAAATCCACTGATCCACGCGCTAGCGAAGTTCGTGTTATAGAAAATCCAACAAGAGAGTGCCACGTGAGAAAAATAGATCCATCAAGCGGTGAAGTAAGTTTCAGAGGACATGGATGGAGGTGGATGTTATTCCGTCGTAGGAGAAGCGTGAGATCATAGTGCTTGCTTCTTGAGATGGCGTCAGCTATTCATGGAGAGGGTAGGGCAGTGCAAAAAATTTTCAGTCCAATTCAATTTGGTATAATTTGAGATAAATTTGATCCTGTATAGTTTAAATAAAAATTAATATTTTAAGATTAAAAAAATTAGATTCCTTTTTTAAGTTAGACTGGACAAAAGATGGAACATTTGGATAACTTGATCCACTCTGGTCTTATAAATTTATTTAATATGATTATAATTAATTAATTTATTATTATTATAATAAGTTAATTTATAATAATAATTAGTATTTTTTATATTTTATACTTGTAAATATATGAATATTGAGCAAAATTTTAACATTGACCAATCTTAATTTTCTCCTTTTATTGATAAAATTTATTATTAACTTGGTGTGATATAATTTAGACATTTTTAATATTGTTGAAGGTTGTTTAATTCGAATTATTTGTAAGATTGTTGTAGGTTTATAATTATCATTGTGATAAATTTTACATGACTATTATAATATTAAAATAAATTGTTACTTTTCATAAATGACAAAAAAAAAATAAAGTGAGATGTTGGACAAGATCAGGATCAATTTCCTAGCCTTACTCGACTTTCAGTTATACCGAGATCATATTAGATCACAAGTTGCTTAATTTAATTCTTTTAATTAAGTTAAAATTCTATCAAGTCAATGGTCTCACCTTCGCTCGTTTATATTTGGATTGCTGGCAGTTTTAAAATTGCCTTATTGTTTAATCCTAAACGGAAGGATTCCAAGAAAGGTTGCTTTTTGCATCTTTATATTACTCCCTTCATAAAAAATATAAATATTTTTACGAGAGATTAGGTATTTAAAAATAAAAAATATTTTAAATTTTTTAAGTATAATCATTATCTTTTTTAAAAGTATCCCTATTAAATAAATTATTTATATTTATTTTATGATAAAATATCCTATTAAATAAAGGTAAATATTAAAAAAATAAAGTTAGTTTGAAGATAAATAATTACTTTATTTGAGGATGAGATTTTGTTAAAAATATTTTATATTTTTAAACAAAAGGAGTATCGTTTATTACCATTAGCAATGCCACCATATAACTGTGATTAATCACAAACAAATATAGCATAAATTTAATATACACATCCTTCTAGTTTTTAAATTTTAAATTAAATTCTTTTAATTTATTATGTCTAGATCAAGTTCTTATAAGTTGATTTATTAAATATATTAATTTTTGGAGTTAAAAATAATAATAAATGATTAAATTTTCCACCAAAAAATGCTTTTAGAGCCTATAAAAAATTTGACTTAATATATCACGTACGTATTTGTTAATTTTTTATGAAAATTCTAATATGTCTATAAATTATTTAGAACACAACTTAATTATATAAGTCTTGAGTTATAAAAATGATGTAATTGTTTTTAAAGTTATATAATCTTTTAATAAAAATAAAAAAATTCTTAAATTTGTGTTTAAAAGGAAAAATTTAGAGTATTTAACCTTGATGGATTAAAAAATTTAATGGATCAAACTATAAGAGAAAAATGAAAATAAATAAAGCTATAAGAACCTAATTCAAAATTGAAACAAACTAGAATGACTGGTGAATACATTTTTTGAATAGCATTGGTGCCAAGACTTTTTTATGTGAAGGAATATTAAACATAAATAATATAATAGAATAATAGAATTGAGTTAGTGTCTTTCCAAATTCAAGCGCAATATAATCTATTTAACTACTTATATGAGTTTATACTATTAAAGTTTAAAAGTAAGATGCACAGAAATATATTGAAGAGAAAAAGAGAGGGAGAACGAATGCTGAGTGATGGCTTTGTGCTTTGAACTTTACATGAATTCTTCCTTCAATCATCCCCCTCTATTTATTGTGAGGGTAGGCTGTCATAGAAAAGAAAAAACACAATCAATATTAACTCACCTCATAATGGAGGGAGCAACTAATTGAAATAATTAACATAATCATGAATGAATTATTTACCATTTTGAAATTTAATTAGAAATCAATCTAGCATTAATTCTTGATTCTAGTGAACTCTCATAATTTTTGTAATATTTTCATATTCACTTATTATTCCAAGTTCCAACATAATGACATGATTTTCCATCTATAAATTCTAAAACTATATATCTACATGTAAACTCTTCTTACATTCAAATGCAAGATACCTTCGATACCACATCCAATTTTAATTAAAAGAGGATGTTATGCACTTCACACATTTAAACACGTACTTCTTTTGTTTCTATATATAAGAAAAAAATTGCATCACACAGTTTAAAAAAGTTGATTAATCATAATAATTTATATAAAATTAAAAAAATTAGACTAAAATATCTTATGTTAATCAACATAAGTATATATTAATTATTTCTCATTAATCTAAATTATGTGTGATGATTTAAAAAATATGCAATAAATGCTTATTAAACGATGTGATTTTGCTTGTATAAAAAATAAATAAAAAGTGATAGTTTCTCTTATAAATAGAAACGAAGTAGTACATTTTGCTTGTATATATTCTCTCTGTTTTTAGTACTACTTCGTTTCTATTTATAAGAGAAACTATCACTTTTTACTTATTTTTTATACAAGTAAAATCACATAGTTCAATAAGTATTTATTACACATTTTTTAAATTATCTCACATAATTTATATTAATGAGAAATAATTAATACATGCTTATGTTGATTAATATATGATATTTTAGTGCAGTTTTTTTATTTTCAAATATAATTATTATGGTTAATTAAATTTTAAATTATATAATACACTTTTTTCTCTTATACTCCATTCGTTTAAAAATATAAGGTATTTGTAACTAAATCCTATCTCTCAATAAAATAATTACCTACTTTTAAATTAATTATATTTTTATATATTTATTTTTATTAAATAACTTACAATAAATATAAAATTATTTATTAATAAAAATATTTTTTTAAAAAAATAATGATTATATTTTAAAAAGTTTAAACAATTAACTTTTTAAACTGAGGGAATTATAGAAATAGAGGAAGTATATATGTCTGTTCTCACGTGGGAGACATTAATTGGAATCCGCTAGCTGGTCTTCACAAAGAACAATAATATATTTTTTTAACTTCTTTTTGGCCTGATTTTTTTTTTTTTTAACTTTCTATCTTGAAATGAGCAACAACATATGTTCGTCCTGGCTACTATGGTAGCTTCGATGACTTCAATTAGGTTTTTTTTTTTAATAATGAATAATAAAATAAGGTTAGTGGCTCGGTAACTCGCATACCAAACAAATTGCCCTTCGATCTTGCGTAATTAATAACGAAGTCCGCGTTCTACCTCAAAGATCCGAAGGGCATAACGGTCTTCCAATAGGTTTGCTCCAGGGCATGATGTCATTCTGATGACGCCACTCTAAATCTATGTGAATAGTTAATTACCGCTTAGAATTCTCATGATTATATTCGATCTACTACTGCTTTCTAATCTTATTTATGAATTATTTTTAATATATTTTATTAAAATCAAAGAAAGTCACCTTAAATTTTTTAAACTTTATTTTAAAATTTAATTAATTTTTATCTTTATTTTTAATAAATATTTTTAAATTTTATTATTATTATTTTTATTAAAGACATTTAAAAGACATTTAATAAAAATAAAAATAAAAATAAAAATATTAAAAATTAATAAATTTTTTATAAATAGAATTAATTTTTTTTCTCTCTCTATTTTTTAAATAAGATCAAAAGAATATATAAAAATAAAATAGAAATAGCATTGAATGACATTTAAAGACCCTAAACGAAGAAGATGAAAATATTTTGAAATTACTTTGAAATCCTTGAAGTGACATGTAACAACGAGAAAATTAAATAAAAAAAAAGATGAAAATACGGCGTTAAAATATGTATTTAGTAAGATAAATTTAAAAATTTACTCAACTTTTATATAAAATTAATAAATTTTATTTTATTTTTTTAATTTTAGTTAGACATGTTAGACATAACTTATAATTAAGAAAGAGTACGTAACAAGTATAATTGGATATAAAATTTATATGAATTGATAAATTTCTTTATATGTTACTTGTGAAATTCAAGAAATAAGTCATAAACTCAAACTGTTCATAGTTAATTATATATATACATATTATGATTAATTTGTTATAGTTTTAATATTATAGATAATGATATATATATATATATATAATTAATATGGATAGCTTTAGGATCTAGGCCCTTAGATATATGTAATTTCCCCAATTTTTAGGCCTAATCAAAAAGGAAAATTCAGCGCCCGGACTTATCTAGCTAGGGTCGACAAGAAGCTCAGGCTTCCCGAATCATCCGCAAACAAAAACCCAGTTTGCCGAAGTTCTTGAGAGTAACATGTTTGAGATCATTTAATTCATACAGTTGCAGATCTGCTGGTTTTACTTTTTGAATCACGACATCTTCTATGTTCTGGAGGATTCTCTCACCGGAGTCGAAACAAGGTAATTATCCATGCCTCTACTCTGCCATGCCTTTTCCGTCGACAACCTGTGCTTAAGATCAGATTTTATCAGATCTATGACATTTTGGCCATTATTAATCTACCAAACTTGATTTAAATGTTCCAATATTCCCATATTTGCAATTACCCCGAGTTAATTAATTTGTCCCAAAACATAAAATGATCTGATCACTCTGCATGCTTTCCAAAATTGTAAAATTAAGTTCTTTATAATTTTCCAAAACACACGTACGCAGTATGTAATTAAGAAGAATCTAATTTGCAAGATGAAAACATGTTCGAATGTTTTTTCTTTTTTGGTGTGAACACATATGGGTAGAGTTTGAATGAATCTACTTCGCGAGAAGAACGCAAGTTTGGAGAATTTTCTTTTACCCAAACATAATTATGGCATGAACGATTTCAATTCACTTGGACGACAGGACGAGTTGGCATTCTTCCTGATTTTTTGTGCGGACATTTTTAACGAGAGCAGCTCAGTGCTTAATCACCCTTTCATTCCGTAAAGAAGGAACTTTCACACTATATTATGCTTTGTTTTTCTTCTATTATAGAGTGTGTGTGTGTGTGTGTGTGTAAACTCTTTAACTTTATGATCATGGCAACTTCTTTTTTTGGTCTTATATTAGATAACAGACTGTCTTATATAAACAACAAAATATATTATTTTTGTTATTATTCTGCACTTGACATTTTTTATAATTAGGATAAATCATGTGCTATAGGATATACCTAAGTGACTAGATAGATGAACCTTGATAATTGAAAACCTCTTTATATTTCATTTATATATTTTGTTTGTGGTCATGTATCATTTATGTAGTTATTTTTCATATCAGACGAGAGTTTTATTATAAGATAAAACAAGCTGTTATTTTTGTCTTACATTCTATATATATGGTTATTCATTTTCTTGATTTTTATTATCTAACAGTTTTCTTATAAGATGACAACCTACTCTCGTCTTACATGTTAAATTACGTGATAATGTATTTTTTTTAATTTTACGAGATAAAAGTATTTTATCTTTGTATATGCTGCATGAATAAATAAATTAGATATAAATTTTATCTCAGTATAGTTAGAAATTAATCATCTTATTTTATTTTGATATTTGTACTTCAAATTTCTCTCTCAATAATGACCAACGTTTTATAATGTATGTATGTATGAATGATATTACATATGCCGTGGGGAAGCTTATGCTTGAAAACTTAATTGATTTGAGTCATCATCATAGAAAACCTCTTTTTATCAAACATTAGGAAAATTCAAAAAATCTAAACTTAAACTATGAGATATATCATCTTTTTAATGTTAAATAACAGCCGTTATCTTATATTTCATATTATAAGACGACAATCTGTTATTTTTTATCTTATATTAAATGACAGTTTGGTATATTTTCTCTTATATTAGATGACATTTTATAATTTCTATACCATATATATATAATAACAAACTCTATCATTTATATTATTTATCTTTTCATGATCACCCTACTTAATTATGTTTTGTCATTGGGCAAAGTCCAAAGATCCCTAATCACTTTCTTCCATAATTATAGACATAGACCTTACTTGGCACTTGAACTATACACGGCCTTAAGCTTAAGAAACTGTCATTTCACCAACAGCAAATGAAACTTCCTTAAAAAAATTTTCGTCATCAAATCAATCATGGTGCTCAGAATATATTCCCATCTGCTGAACTTGAATTACCTGATTATCTGATCCGCCAATGTCTGATGTCGTACAAACCTACCAAGATTGCTCAAAGAAAGAGATTCACATCTCTGTTACGTTAAACTCAAATTATATTACCTGATACACTAGCTGTTTGAATTTGGTTCGATGATTAGGTTGATTGTTTTGGTCTGGTTCTGCCCATTTTGTTCCTGACAAAGGTGACACCATCATTTTCTTGCAAAGGTTAAATTCAATTTGTAGCTTATACACATTGTTTTCATGCAATTTGAAGCTAGCTAGTGTATGAATTAATGCTCGAATAGATTCATTTCTGACTCAAAATTGGAATAATTATTTTTGCTTGAACTTTAGATTGTGATAACACTGGAAATCATTTCATGAAACCGTTGAGTTTTGTTATGATTTGCAGGCGGACCCTTCTCACACACTTGAATTAGATTGCCTTAATTGAGTTTAAGAAACCGTTGAACTCGAATTGCTATACATGATATCCTTGGTACTTGAATTTGGATATTCCATGACTATTTGGTCAATTTTGTTTTGGTCTTGCTTTGGATATTCCATGTTTAAACAAAAGAGTATTTATAGAGATATTTACATATCATCCACAGATAATGTTCTTAATTATATCGGTAGCTAGATTTGAATTTACGATCTTGTGAGTTATAAATCAAATCTGTATCAAATGGACTAACATTTATTAGTTGTCATTCATGCTTTTGTTTTCCTGATTACTGGCATAAAAGTACATTGCACCATTGTGACAAAAAAATATCAATAATAACAACCCGTGAAAAAAAAACCCACAGAAATATGGTTGAAAATTCAATTTCTTTTGAAAAAAAATTTGAATGCAAATTTGGACTGCTAATGAATTTATTTGACCGAAATCATAGTAATCGAACCCCATAAATCATCTAATTAAAGACCAAATGGCTTAATTGACAAAATACATAATAATAATATTGAAAGCATTATATTACCATATATGTATTTATGCATGTATGAGGAGCTTGTCAATAAGTAACATGTTAATGGCTCTTCAAATTAGTGCTCTGAGCCGTAGGTACCAATCGTTTAGGTGTGGAATTTGTGAATTAAGGCATCGTCCTTTCATGACCAATTTGCTCCATGATAAAATTTATTCAGGCTTTGTTCTTGTACATGTATTAGTTATTATAATCAAAATTATCTGCCAGAAAACAAAACTTGCGAAACGAATCCAGCCATGATATGCATTTAAACAAATTTCAAGTAGCTATGGAGAATTTTGGTGTGATCTATGATGAATAGCATTTGAAAATTGCAGGAAGGCGAGTGTGTTATAAATTGCTTCGACTACCTCCTAGGAGAAGTAACTCCAAATGCCAATTTAATGAGGAAGATGATGAAGTTAGAGAATGATAGGGCTTTGTCTTCTTCATTAGATGATGAGCTTCTATTATGAGTCTTATATTAGAAAACCACATTGGTAAAATGTGATTTATAAGTTAGTTGGGCACTCTACCCTTATGAGGTGCCTTTTGGGGGGTGAGTTCTACTTAGAGGGCTTGTGATTGTGATATTGATGCTCTCATTGAGAGATATCGTTCACGGAAAGGGCTCTTTATGAAGGGGTTCACTAGTTGAAGGCCAAGTGAAGTATTGCGAAGCGCCTCCCTTAATAGGTGAGATACATTATGAGTCTCACATCAGGAGATTATATTGGTAGAGTGTGGTTTATAAATCAGCTGGGTGCTCTCTCCTTATGAGGCATTTTTTGGGGGTGAATTCTACCTAAAGGGCTTGTGGTTGTGACATTTAATGTGACGAGCACAAACCCAAAGAAAGAGCCCCCAAAAGATTAGTCTGTTGGGTGGGAGAGCCCTTTAAACTTATAAAAACTACACCACTTGTGAGGCTTTTTAATGTGGGACTCATGATAATGTCCTCTCATCAAGAGCCGATGTCCTCAGCGGTTTCACTTCACAGTACTTCACTTTGCCTCCTGCCGGTCAGAATTGGTGAGTACAAGCTCAAAAGGGGAGCCTATCCTAAAAGATTAGCCTGTTAAATATGAGAGTCCTTTAGACTTATAAATCACTTATGAGACTTCCTGATATGGGACTCATGATAGCTTCTCAAAGGGAGAGACCTGAGCAAGCAGCTTCTTCACCTTGTTCTTCATCCTCATCCTCATCACTCCAGTATCAGCATTGCAGATCTTGTCAACAAAATTCTCTGTCTTTATTCTCAAACACCCTCCTTCTCTTCCACTCACTTGAGATCCTAATGGATGCTTCTCCTGAATCTGATCAGGACCACCGTGATTTGGATTATCATACTCTCAACAGTTTCAACAAAAGAAACGGAAGAGGCTCTTACCTGAGGAAGTAATTACTACAACTAAATATATTTCTACTCCTTCTCTAGCAGTTTCCATCTTACCTCGTCAGCCCATTTTCTAATTAATTAATCAAATCAAGTGAAAGAGAGAAAAATAGGGAAGAGAGAAAGTTAGAGCAGAAAATTGAAGAAAAAGAAATTTTTTTTTTTTAGTTTTTCTTATCTTCATGGAGAAATTAGGGGGGAACACACGTAGAAAATGTCTTTGTCCTCTATTTATTATTATTGTTATTGTTTCAGTTTTCTCTCTTTCTTATTGTCTTCTCAGTTTAAAGAAAGCCTTTTGTTGTACAGTTCATGTAGTTGAATCTACCTTGTCAGATGAGATTTATCGTTGTTGTTGGTGTTTAAAGAAAGCCTAAACTTTGTGACACACAGGAGTCTGTTTGCTGTCAAAATCAACTTTTATCTATTCATTTTTTTTTGCTATGCAACAGGAACATACATACATGCATACACACACACACAGGGGTATATAACTGCACTACTTTCCTTTAAATTTTTTCAAAAGAGCAATGCAAACGTGGGAGGAGAAATCCCCAGTTCTAGTTGACGATGGACATGCATGGAGAAAGTATATATGGACAAAAGAAGACAATGAATGCCAAATACCAAAGGTCATATATCAATATTCCATTTTATTGATCTCTTTCTAGGGTCTGAATCTAATTGAATTGAAAATAATATGCGTGGAGGAATGCAGGGACTATTACAGGTGTAGTCACAAGCACAACCAGTGATCGATGTGGAGGGATGAAACAAGTTCAAAGAATACGAGACAAGCCTCCTTTATACCGAACCATCTATTTTGGCATATCCAAGTGAAGCAAACCCTAGCATCCCAATCTGAGCATGTCACTGCTACGACTGTGTTATCCTCATCAACCACCTTGGATCGGGTTTCTGTTGTCAAGCTTCAATATGTTGATCAAAGTGGATGATGTTATTTTAAATTGTTTTAATTATGACATTGTAACGTTTTAATTTGGTCCGTGATTTGGTTTTATAACTCATCAGAGAGAGATACCAGGGCAACAACCTTCTTCTTTTCTTGGATAATTACTACATGCCTCTCGACGTGTAAAAAAATAATTACAATGAAAACAAGAAAGATTTACTTTTCATTCTGAAAGATGTATTTATAGTTAAATTTTAATTATGAGTTGTTACTTATAAGTTCTTGATAAAGAAAGCTGTTTCTTACTTCTTGATAAAGAAAGCTGTTTCTTACATATATTAGCTCTCAATCTTCTAAATTGATATTGGTTGTCATCATAATAGCTTCATAGATGAGGCAGCTATTATTTTCTCGCCCTCCAAAAAATTACTTCCACCTTTCATGCATTGTTTTATATGCTAATCCACGAGGATAATGAAGTACGTTTAGGAAAAAAAATTAATTTTAGACCAAGACTTTTATGAGTTAATTAGTGAAGGAATTTTACACTTATATCAGGCATTTTTAATAGTTATACAACTAATTTATTTTGTTTTAAAGAAACTGTTCAGAAAAAAATTGTCTAGAAAAAAGTGGCTTGCCATCGGCACTCCAGCAGGCTTTCTGACAGCTAGCAGCCAGAATCCAGTCATCAACGGCCGGGCAGTTGGTCTACAGCAAGGGCATTTTTGGTAGAGGAAAACTTTTTCAATTACAATTAAGAACTATAGTCTTTAATTACAACTTCTGTAATTTTCGGTCCATGATTGTAATTTTCATCCTTATGGGGTCCTTATTTGTCATCTCTTCTGAAATAATTGTAATTCTCATTTTAATACCGCATATCCGAATACTTTGATGACGATGCCTGAACTAGTGCTTAATTAACTTATCCTTAATCAGATCCAAGATTTATGTGCTCCATAAGCTTGACTGTGACATAGACATGTGCATATGTGATATGTTATTTAAGAGACTGTCCATTATTATTCCATTTAAAAAAAAAACTGTCCGTTATTATTATTTATTATTTTAATAATTTTTTATTTGTTGACTTCATCCCATTCGTGGAGCATATCATTATTTATTTTGTACATCAATTCAGATGAGACTCTTTCCCCCGGTACGCATTCATATGGATTTCCCGCGTCCTAGGACCCCACGCACATGACACGCGAATTTGCGATCAGGGAATCTCCCAACCCTCCACCAATAACATTAAAATATGTTTTTCTTTCCATGGCAACAATAAAATAAAATGATTTTTTGGGCGACAGAAACAAAATACTCCCTCCTTTTTTATATATAAAATATTTTTAATCAATCATGCAAGTAAATAAAAGTTAATTATTTAATTAAAAACACAACAACATTTAATATAATTTTATTTCTAATTATTCTAAATAAAAAATAAATATTTTTTAAAGTAAATTAATGAGAATACTTATTTTTTTAATTTAATAAGGATATAATGGTTCATTTATTAAAAAAATTTACTAATAATCTCTTATATTTAAAGATAATTTTTTTTAAATCTCTTATATAGGGAAGGAAGAGTACATTACTCTCTTCATTTCAAATTATAAAACACACTAATAAATCTTATTGAATATATTTAACAATTTTATTTTTTAAAAAATAAAAATATAAAATTTTAAAAATATCTTTTATTTAATATATTGAAAAGAGAGAATGACAAAAATTAAATATAGAGAGAGAGAGAGAGAGAGAAGTAGAGGGTAGTATTGAAATGAACTTATTTAATAAAATTTTAATATTATTAAAGTGTTTTATATTTTAAAACACTTCTCTAAAAATGTACTGTAATTTGTGACAATGTTCTATAAAATAAAATGGGTTGGTTGCTCTAGAAAGGATAACGTTAAATCTATGATAAATTAACCTTGCACTACTTCTTATAATTTAAAGAGCATAGGTTAGCTTCTCAACTCTCGGAGATATAAATTGGAAGGGTATAACAATCTTTCAACATGTTAATGCCTAGCATGATATCATTCACATGACATCACTCTTAATCATTTTTAAGGGAAAATTGATCAAAAAAACTCCATCACTAACTTGTTTGCTCACAAAAGCTTGGGAGAGATTTAGATTTGAAGTCCTTCCCTGGCATTAATTCAGATCTCCAAATGACCAAAATATCTTAACCAAATCTCCCTCCCTAGCCGAAAATTCTGTCCTCTTGTGAGAGATTTTCCAGTCCCTTGGTAAGCATTTGCCTCCACGGTGTCTCTCCGGAACCGCCGAGAAGAGTGAGTCCGTGAACGTAAGTGTTGTTTTGGTGTGTGAGTTGTGCAAGTTTAAAGGTTTCCTTTTCTACCATATACATATAGCAGTGTTATGCACTTCAGTTATCAAAGTCATATATACTGCGTCTAAAACGACTCAATTTAACTTCTTTGTCTTCGTTATGCCATATATGTGGTGGGGATATATCAATTAATTTGGTCTAAGTTGGCATTTGCCCCCTCTACTCTTGGAAATGGGCATTTTGGAGTATCTCAGCGTTTAATCAATATTTGGTGCCATTAAATGATTTAACGAAGTTTCATTATATATATACATATATATTAAAATTTGTCTTATTGTAACGTTTTACTTCGTTTTAAGTGAAGTTTCTAACGTCCAGTTTGTTATTTTTTGTGTGATGTCAAATGACAGACACGTATATCCATGTCTTGTACTGATTAACAAAGCGTATCATAGTATAATATTAGATGTGAGATGTTATTTTAATAATTGAGATAATTTAAGAGACAATATTAATACAGATCCAACACCCTGTTTGATTTGGAGTTTTCTAAGAGAGGAAGAAGAGAGATCATTGATTTAGAAAAGTTTGAAGGATGGAAAGTAAGCAACTTTTCTCTTCCCTTCCTTCGGTTTGAAATTTTTTTTGAGGAACCTGTTTCCCACTTCTTTCCTCCTCGCCTTTCCCTTCAAAAGTGGGTTTTTGAAGGGAGGGCTGTAAATAACTTATTTGTTTGATGATAAGGTTATATTTATACTAATTTTAAAATTCCTCCTTTGTCGTCCTATAGATCAAATATCACACTCTAATATCTCATTTATCATTTCTAGCGAGCTCTCAATTTTCTCGATGGCCCCACATTAAAAATAATAAATTTGAAATAAAATTTAATTATCATTTAAGGTGAAAGTTGATAAATTGTAATGTGTCTATTTTTTCAAATAAATAAGAAGAATGAAAAAAAGAAAATAATTTAAATTTCATAGAAAAAAACTAAAATCAAACAATGGATCATTAAGATCCCTCCACATTAAACTTAGCAGTCAAACATAGTGTAAGTGACTAGAGGTCAGGATGAAAATAGAAGATTGAGTAGTTTTATTCACGTAGTCATATAACATTAATCTCATTTGTTAATTATATGCTATCTTGTTATGGTAGAGAACAATTAATTTATGTCTCGCTTCTATATTCTGTTTGGGGGTGGTTTACTTTGTTTTTATTTGACGACTTTGTACGTTGTTATCTTTTATATTAGACAGTGACAATATATAGATGATGTTGCTATTATATAAGGTGACAATCTGTTATTTTCTTCTTTTATTATAAATGAGAAGTGATCATGAATCCAAATATTGCTTTACTTTATAAAAACCTGACTGACATGGAGGATTAAATATACCTGATATATATGATATATCTTCATTGGAGAGTGAGTTCTGCAAGGATATTTAGTAATTAATTTCCTCAAAATATATGTTCCTGTTCTACTGAAAATAACATATAGTAACAGACTCAAAAGCATCTTATTTGTTATATATGTGGTGCCGTTATAGGTGTGGCATCCTGGGGAGATGACCTTATCACATAATCACGAACATTTGATGAGAATATTAATGATTAGGTGATCAATCACATAGAATGCCCTGAATTATTGGAGAGACGTACACTTAGTCAAACTTGAATTAGACAGCCTTAATTAATCAACCTTGTATTTTGCATGGAATCTAAGTTGAATTATATTACAGTACTGTCATATCCAATAATCTACTTAATCACAGCACAGTATGAACGAAGCTCCGATAAAATATATTACAGTACTGTCATATCTATTCTGATCGGCTCTAATAATATATATGTGTGTGTGTGTGTGTGTGTGTGTCAGCAAGTAGATATATTATGTAATCAAACTTAATTATGAGACGGCCTAACCAAAACTTAACTATAACTAAAAAAATTCCCAATATTAATAACAAAAATCTACCGTGGGGCATTCAGGGGTCAGTTCTCTGAGTAACAATAAACTTATAAATTGCAAGTGGGGGTGTTCCTTAAAACACAGTCTGTCTCGGTTTGTTGTTTCTCTCTGACCGAGAACTCCAAAATCCTAAACACAGGATGGAGAATATTAGGGCTTCGTCTTCAACAGATGTTAAAAAGGCCATAACTGAAGAGCTTCTCAAAGGGAGAGACCTGAGCAAGCAGCTACTCCAACTTGTTCTTCATCGTCATCATGATCAGTCCAATGATGTTGGATCAGATGAAGGTTCCCTATTATGGATTTCATTTGCCCAAGATCTTGTCAACAACATTCTGACTTCATTCTCAAACACCCTCCTTCTCTTCCACTCCTTTGAGATCCCTATCGATGCCTCTGCTAAATCTGATCAGGATCGCCATGATTTGGATGATCATGCTGTCAAGCGTTTCAACACAAGAAACGGAAGAGGCTGTCATCCGAGGAAGTAAGAACCCACACACACACACACACAATCCATGTCTCTGCACATATATATCTTAGTCATGAATTAGTATGTATTTATTTGTCTGCTATCAAGGGTAATTTTAGAAGGATGGGATAATTAAAAGAACTTGGATTAATTTTACCCAACATATTTGATTTGTGTGAATTAGTTAAAAAGGAGTCATAAATAGGAATGAAGAGTGCTTATTTGAGTGTAAGTAAACAAAAATATGGCTACACAGCTACACTGTTTTCTTGGAAATTTTTTGCAGGAGAGCAATGAAAATGTGGGAGAAGAAATCTCCAATTCTAGTGGACGATGGCTACGCATGGAGGAAGTACGGACAAAAGAGGACAATGAATGCTGAATACCTAAGGTCCTATAATCAATAACCTTAATCTTCCACCTAAATAGCACATACATCTGATCTGTGTCTGTCTGTTCGTATGTCTATCTATCTGATGTTATGATTCCAACATCAAATAACCTCACAAGATAAGTGGGGTTTATAAGTTCAAAAGTATAACCTCTCCCACTTAATAAGCTAGTTCTATAAGATTGACCTTCTCTTTAAACTTGCAGATAACGCTGTCTTAATTGAATTGAATTGAAAATGAAGTTGCATATGGATGCAGGAACTACTACAGATGTAGTCACAAGCACGACCAGGGATGTCCAGCAATGAAACAAGTTCAGAGAATACGAGAGAGGCCTCCCTTATACCGAACCACCTATTTTGGAATTCATACTTGCAAAACCCATCAATTACTTTCTCAGAATATTCCTTTGGAATATGCCTCTTCTGGTAATCTTTCTGAATCGTCCTTGTTGCTTAGTTTCAATGATACCTCTCTTCCAGCAGGGAAACAAGATCACTCCTATTTCTCATCCACCAAGAAGGAGCTGCAACAGATTTCTTCCATTGATGTGAAGCAAAACCCAGAGTCCCAACATGAACATGTCGCTGCTGTGTTATCCCCAAACTTGGATCAGTTTTCTCTTGTCAAGGTTCAACCTATTGAAGTGGATGATGTTGTTTTGAAATCTCCTGAATTCGATGAGTCTGTACATATCGGTCCGGGATTTGGTTTTATTACGGAGTCGAGGGCAATAAATCATCGAGGCTTCTTCTTGGATAATTAGTATACTTCAATTCGCATTGTAAAACATTATTATTTAGAGTCAAAATCTGGTTTGGTTTCAAAATAAGAGAGATTTGGCTCTCATTCCGTGACATCCTTAAACACTACATATATGTATGTATTCCAGAAAAAAGATACACATTAGCCCTCAGTCCATCTGAAATTAATCAAACTTGGTCGGCTTGTCAAATTTGCGCCTTGAAAAGTAATCATAATTTTTACTCCTCCAAAAAATTACTCACACCTTTCTTCATTGTTTTATAATTAATCCATTGTGAGGAATTATATATGTGCACAGAGAAACGGCCTTGGAATATATTATTTCTTGTCTGAAAGGAGCTATTAATTCTCTCATTGGATAGTAATATGCATACACGCATCAAATTAAAATTTACCAAGTATCATAACTTTTGGACTTAAATTCTCTGGAATTGAAATTAATGAATTTGAGTGAAGTTTTCTTTTAGTATTTTATTCATTTTATTATTATTTTTAAATATAAAATCTTCTATCTCTTTTCTTAAAAAAAGAGAAAAACCTTCATATAAATTTACCAATCTCAAATTTAGAGGATCTAAATCCATAATTTTCATGTTGTCTTGTTTAATACAAGCTTTGCAAGCAGTTAAAGGAGATAAATAATTGACATTTCACAAAGGTTTTCTTTTTCTTCTATTCTTTTATATTTTTTTGAGTCAAGTTGATGACAAAGCTAAAAGTTTAAGGAGTCGAGATTCACATAATAATTTTGGACATTGCATGTTTTACATGCATGACGATTAGACATGCGAATTACGAGCATGCTTTAAAATTAGAAGGTATTAATATTTGAAACCAAAAGTAAAACTAATTAACTTGGACCTGCTATATATTCAGAACTTCCAAGGAACCAGATGCTCTTATCTACAGATGATATGGTGGCATGGCATGCAGTGTGTGCTTGTTGATTCTTTCTGCCCATATCGATTTTACATATTCATCCGGCCCACGATGTTTCTGGGCTTGGGCCTACACGCGCCCGCTCGAGAGTTTGACCGTTAAATTTTGAAATAGAAAAGATATCATCCATGACCATGAAACATTAACTATCTATGATCTAGCTGCATTTTGACCATGCCTATGCTTCACCAGAGAGGCAGATAGGAGGTGTGCTGGAGAACAGCAGCCTGCAGTGGTATCCTAGGGTGATTTAACACAAAAATATTTATAATTTTTTAATTTGTAACTCGGTAAGATCTAAGATGCATTGGTTTTTTTTTCCTTTTATTTTCCACCGGAAAATTTTTTGGTGGAAAGAACAGGGAAGAAGACCGTTCATTGCTTCCTTAGGCTTCTGAGCCACAGTAGAAAGCAGCAATCAGCTATACACACATTGAGAAGAGTTTCCCAAGGCGCATTAAAGATCAGCGGAATAACTCGAGCTCCGCCAAGGTTAACGAACTTGACAAAGGAGGCGGCGATGGAAGAAGCATTTGTGGCATTGCTGAGACGTCCGGAGGCGCCATCACCGGGGTGCGTGGCGATCCCGATGACCGGCCGGTTGTACAAGTTAGGGTTCGAGGCGGGGCAAGTGGAAGACAATCGAGGCAACGAGTCATTGTGGCGCTGACTAGGTGGAAGAATCTCGTGAGCCTCAGCGGATCCAATAACGCATCTCAAAAAGGAAATCGGAATCGGAATCCAAACGTTGCTCCGGAAGGTGGTGGAGTAGAAGGAGAGGAAGTGCTCCTTACGACGTCGTTGGCCATGCGGGAGGAAGGAGGATGCCGATCTCTGGAGGAATCAGAGTTTTGGGAATACGTGCCGGCAAGCGTGAATGAATGAAGTTGCTACAAGAGGTGGCAAGCGGAAGCTGAAAAAAAGCAATTCGATTAGATTTTTTACCCAAAAAAAAAAAATTCAATAAACAGAGAGAGGAAACTGACACTTGCCACATCACAATCATAGTGTGGGCCCGTGGATTTAAGCGGACACCTTGAGGTTGGGCGTGAGTGGGGTCCACTGGTGGTTAACTAACTGGACTATCTCATGTTTGGGCCCATTTGCTTTTGTGGGCCTTTACTTTTATATTGGGCCAAAACCTTCATAAACTTGGACAGAAGCTTTCAAATGGATAACAAGAGGAGAACGCGTCAGACGTGATCTAATATTTTGTTGTCTAAAAATGGAGCCTACTGATATATATGATATTTTCATATCAAAATTTTGAATTTGAAGAAGCCTTTGAGATATCTATTTTTGATTTATTAATAAATAGTAATTGAGAGATTTTCATTTTAGAATAAGAATGACGAAGACTTGTGACTTCATTGGATTGAGTGGCATGCCAGATTTAACATCAACATTGAAATTATTACCAAATAAGCATTCAAATTAAACTCTTACTTGAAACACAATGTTCGATATTTTCTAGACCTTATGTTATACATAGTCTTCTCTTCGCGTATAGGAAGAGGTAGATTCAATGAAAGGCAGAAAAGAATCCATCATAATCAATTCCTTCCCTATTAATTGGCCACCTCAAATTATTTTTAGAAATGTATTTAGTTTATGTTCCTTGTGCTCATAATTATATACATCAATATGTGTATTACAAGTCTATTGAATCAATATGACGCGGAAATATAATTCCATTGGATTGTTATGAACATTTATAATACACTATTGAAAGTTACAATTATTTCATATTTGACGAAAAATCCTGTATATAAATTCACTGCCGCAACGCTAACTAGTTTTCTAACCGAACTCTTACTCCTCTTTATTTTTTGTTTTGGCCTGATAAACAAACTATTCTAATAAACGTACGCCTTTTGTGAAGCAAAAGCCCTCATCCAAAACCACATCATAGGCCAAAACTTTGCTTCAAGACCATATCATTTGCCAAAACGTGCGAAGTCATCGAAATCAAAACACCTCATCAAAAGCACATCGTCCACTACTTCATAATAAGAAAACATATCCAAGGTCGAGGATAACAGGGTAGGGACATGGTCATCATATTCGGGCACATGGTTTTGTTCTACATCGACATGACGATCATCATGATCAATAATGGGAATGTTTTCTTCATCGTCACGCTCCTTCTTATCATTAGTAGAAGATGATGAGAAAAAGTGGTGGTGGAAGCTAGTATTGTCATTGAAATTAAGTAATATGGAGGAATCAGAAGGAGAAGTGAGAGCCAAAGTCATCTCAGGAAGCATATTATGGTTTTTGCAAGAATGAATACCAATATAGGTGGTTCTGTATAAAGGAGGCTTCTCTTGTATTCTCTGAACTTGTTTCATCGCTGAGCAACCTACTTGCCTGTGACTGCACCTATAGTAGTTCCTGCATCCATATTTATAAGCACACACTCATCAATTGAATTCAGGAAAGATACAAAATATATAAATATATGTTGTGATCGGTGTGGAGGAATCTACGGACTTGAGGTATCTTGCATTTGTGGTCATTTTCTGTCCATATTTTCTCCATGCATACCCATCGTCAATCAGAATCGGAGAATCCTTTTCCCATGTCTGTGTACTTCTTCTGCAAAATATTTGAAAAACGAAAACAGCAACTTCAATTCTGGCCATAACGTACAGGAAATAAAACAAGAAGTTCAGGTATTTATTTTGGATGTTATGATTAATGAGAGGTTTTCTGAAAAGCTAGATCCTTCAGTAGAATTTGGAGGCCGTGTTTGGAAATAGAAGTATGAAAGAGCCAAAATGGTCAGAGATAATTAGAGATTAACATGTGTACAAGGATGCAAATTCAAAAATGGTCGACTACTGTAAGATAATTTATTATAAATATAATCTCCTTGAGCACGCTTTTACCTAGTCTCAAAGCATTTAGTTGGATGCTGCTAAAAGCAACATGGCATCTAAGGCTTCAATATTCTTAGATCAAAATTGCAATTAATGAAAAAGATAATTAAAACTTTGTTTTGACATCAGATCTGGAGAACGAACTACAAGTCTAAATAATAATTCTTACTTTCTCTTGTAACAGCCTCTTTGGTTGTCTGATCTTCCGTTGATGAAGCTCTTGCAATTTACACCTACATCCCCAGCAACCTCGGATCCTTGGTAAATATTCCTGGCCGAAGAAGAATCACTGAAGAAAGAGACATCATGGGATTGAATGTCAGGATCGGTGGTGTTGTTCAAGAGCAGAAAGGTGTTGGTGAATGATCGAAGAATTTCGGTGAGAAGATCTTGACCAAATGGACGTGCGACTGATAAGAATGACTCTTGATTTCCTTTATAATTGGATCCTTGACGAAGTAGTTGAAGCAACTGGTTTGCGAACTCACGCCCTCTCACAAGCTCTTCAACTATTGCCTGTTTCTCCATAATTGTTTGGCTTGTGAGAGAAAGGTCTGGACTCTGCTGGAGAGGTATATGAAATGCAGAAAATCTGAAATATATAATAGGGGCACTGAACCCACTCCCAATTTTCAAATGTCATATACGCGTGAGAGATCTGAGGCATTATTTTAAAAGGTAATTTACAGCTTATCTTGTTATTACTATCTTTTCTTAAATTATACTCCCTCCCAATCTATTTGCAAGATACTTTTTAGAAATAAATTTTGGTCCAAAATGTAAGATACATTATAATAACTAAATCATTTTTTTTAATTTTACCTTTTCTTAATTAGTGTAAAGGTATTTTATTTAATTATATCATAATTTAAAATTAAGAATAAAAATGAAAGTACATCTCATTTTTTATGATATAAAAAACTAATTTTTTTAAAAAGCATGAAACAGATTAATGTCTTATAATAAAGATTTGAATAAGAATTTGATATCTGGCAAACTCTGACGTATGATTTATTTATTTTAATTTACATAATATTTTATATCTAGCAAGTTAGATTCATGCATGTGTTGTTGCCTGTTGGGTTTAAACACGCTTGCCATGGAAGGCATTTTTGGATTCACTCAAGTTTGAACTTGATATATATTATATTTAAACAATTATAACTCCTATCACTAAGTCTAAGATGAAATGTGCGTTATTTTTTTAAAAAATAATTGTTCAGTATGTTCATGTCACTTGTTTAATCTCTAGCCCAAGTTCACATAATTATAATGCTGGTTAAATTAATTTGTAGATCATTCTAATTTTTCTCAATTTTAAATTAAATCCTTGTAATTTATTTTATTTTAATTAAGCCCCAAAATTTGATGGATATATTGAATACATTAGTCTTGTATAAATTATTAATGAATGATTGACCTTTTCAAAATAAAAGCACTTTAAAATTTATAAAAAAACGTGTTGAATACTTTCAGCCAAAAAAAATTGATTTAATACAATATTTATATTTTCTTAAAATTTTAAAGAAAATTTTATATGTATAAAAGTTATTTAAATAACATAACATAATTATATAAATTTTAAGTTATAAAATTTATGTAATTAATTTTAAAATTATATAATCTTTTAATAAACATATAAAAGTCCTTAATTTCATTTTTGACAAAGAAAAATTAAAAGATTTTAACTATCAGGCTATCCAAAATATTTTACTTATTCTTGATATAAGATGAAGTTTAAATTTTTTGGTTCTAAATATAAAATAAAATTAGAGTAATTAATTATTTTTTTAATTTTAATTTTAATTTATTTATATCATCTTTCGAATTTTTAAACAATAAGTTATTATGATCATTAATTATAAATTTTTAAAATAAAAATTTACATGTTTTTTATAATTTTAAAGTTATAGTTATCATTTTTTATTAAAATATAAGTTTGTTGAATTTGTCAATCATATTTACGAGAAGAAATAAATAAAAGGTGTAACAATGTTATTATAGCAGATTATTTCTTTTTAAAACTTAAAAGGTTGCGCCGATAATAAAGGAATTGTAGATAAATTGAAGATAAAAAAGTTAATAAACAAAAATTCGCCTTTCCACGCGCTAGCAAGGTTCGTGGTGCAGAAAATCCAATGATAGCTTGGCACGTAAGAGAGATAGATCCGTCAAGTTGAGAAGTTATGTTTCAGAGGAGCTGCGTGAAGGTGGATGTTTTTGGCTTTTTGCGTGGCAGAAGAAGAGTGAGATCACGGGGCTTACATCAGCTTATCATGCATAGGTTTGAGTGAAAAGTCAATGATCTAATATCCCCACGTTCATATTCAGATTGGTGCGGTTATTAAATTACGTTATTGTGCAATCTTAGCAGGATCCAGAAGAAAGGCTGCTATTTTGCCTCTTTATTTTATCGTTTAGTTTATTACCACTAACAAGCAACACCAACATATCATTATGGCTAATCACAACAAAATCCTACTGGTATCGTGACAAGACTTTTCTATCTATGTAGTATACTCTCCTTGCATTTAAATAGATTTACGAAATTTTTTATTCTATTTACTTATAAGTCATGTAATTAAATTTTTATTATGAGCTTTTCCTTTGACCCCATTATAAATATTGATAAGTATAGGGTTAATTTATCAATTTAAAATTTTAAATAATCAGCAAGATGCAATTTTTTTTGGCCAACCAATAAAATGCAATTTAATTATAGCGTAAAATCTTTGCAGAAGCCTGTATGTAAGCAGATAAAACCTTGCCAAAGAACAAAAAAATCAAAATCCAGGAAACAAGGAAATGTGTGGGCCAGTCAATTAAGTTAATTTTAGTTAAGAAGGAAGCTGATGTTGATTAAGGTTTAGGAGGCTATTTATTTTTTCCTATTTTATTATTTTTTATACAACGTAAAATGTTTTCTATTTCTTAAAAGACAGATTTCATAAAATTCACGGATTCTTAACTTTAGATGATCGATTTCCATGGAGATAACAGAGACATTCTAATTATTTTTATTTTAAGTGAAAGAGACATTCTAAAATTCTTTCCAAAAATGGGTTTTGATTGAGGTTGTCCGTCACTGTGATAGGATTGGATGAGAGCCACCTTCACTGCACCTTCTTCCGTCATCTGTCTTCAATTTAAAATTGTTCTAGGGTCCGTTTGGATTTCAGTTGGGTATAATAGATTATGAAAATAATTGATTAAGTGATAGATTTTAATCATAATTGATTATGTTATAACGTAATCTGTTTGGATACTGTTTTTTTAAAATTAATTTTAACAAAATTGAAGATGTTTGGATAATTTAATCAGAATTAATTTTTAATTATATAAATTACTATATAATTTAATTTTTAAATATCAAATATTAATTTTTTGAATATACAAAGTTTAAATTTTATTAAGGAAAAAAAAAGGGAAAAGAAGAGAGTTTAATTTTATTTTTATTAAATTATGTGCTTTCTTTGTAATTTTTTCTTGGGCCATTCTTTGTAATTTTTCCCAACGCTTTTTGATAAACGTTCTGCAAAAGCTGATGGAGAGAACTTATGGAAAAACGCGCGTCCTGACCCATAATCGATTTTTGATGATTTTTGACTGTTTGGCTAACTTTTCATATTAATCGATTTTTTGCCTCAAAAATCGATTAATGAGGCAATCCAAACGGACTGCTATATGTTTGTTATTACATATATGATCCAATAATTATATTATCGAGGCGAGAAAAACATGTTATATATTCATTTATAATTATTGCATCATATAAGGAACATAACCTTCACCACTTGTTGTCATCGCTCTATATTATAAAACGCGTAATATATATATATATATATATATATGTATGTATGTGTGTATGTATATATGGTAGAGACCGAGTCATAATTTGATGTAAATTACTGAAAATCATGAACTCGAAAATCATCACTAAGTTCAATTTACGGGTAAAAAAAAAATATCACTTTAATCGTCATGTTTCGAACATTTTTTTGATGATCTTGGGGTTCAGATCTTAAAAAGGGGACCTATGTTATGTATGTCTAGTCACACCAAGTTAATTTTCATGGCAAAATCTATAAGGATGAAAATTAAAAAGATGTTGAAATTGTTATACTGATCCTAATATGGGGTTTTGTTGCAGCGCATATATATATGATATTTTAAATTCTGATTGCTTGATTGCCAGTTATGTAATTATTGATTGGTGCTGACTTGATCTCACCTGTGTTAATTGTTAAGCTTTTGAAAGGCTTCTGTCAGCTAGATTCGTATCCACAGGTTCTATATGTGCCTTTAGAATTAATTACTAGCTATATATAGCCAGAATAGCAAACGAATGTGTTATGTATCAGTAAACAAATTAAAGTCATGTTTTATTTATTTTATTTTTTTTGTTGAGATGTTCATTAACTTTTCAAAAACAGTTTTTTTAAAAAAATTGATATATTGTACTATAAAACAATACTACTGCGTTTTTCACGAAAGAACATTTCAACGAAAAAGACAACTGCGTTATCACTATTATTCCAAATATATTAAAGTTCTTAAGGTTGTTAAGGTTATATTGATAAAAAATAATCAAGTATTAATTCATGATGCAGTAGTTTTGTTTGCTAATTATGTGTTTGTTAAATTAATGCCAAGCGAAGGGTCATTAATTGATACTTATTGACACCTATAAATGACATAGTAGAACAAGTGTCGTATTAATTGTCAATCTGAAATTCATTTACGAATGGGCAAAGATAAAGGTGGATCGTAATTGGGCTCTCAGATTAAGATGGACTTAATATGAAATTGATTTTTCACTTACTTTTGTGTCTTTAGACTCTTTGAATGGAATAGAAAATATTTGTAGTGTAAAATTTTTAAGATAAAAAGTCATATCATTACGGCTTGTGCTCTCTGTAATGTGTGCCAAGTTGGAGGCGCCACTACTCAACAATTCATCAAATGCTCGCCTCGCTATAGTTATTCGTAGATTCTGCGTTGTTTTGAGGCTCCCAGATTCATTGTGCAAATAGTCAATTAATGTTTCAGCTATTTTTACTACTCCTTGTTAGGTTCAACAAAATAATAAAAAAAAAGAAAGTGAAAAATATTATACATTTGATCCCGGTAAAGTTTGTCGAGTTTTTAAGTGAGTCCTCAGCTTGTAATTATCTTTTCAATTAATCATAAGTCAATGGTGAGATATTTGATGCTAGAGTATTCTTAGTAAACGTGTAAACTGTATACTCAAAGGAAGGTCAAATTAAGTTGGCACTTGCTTTATCAAAGTATGGATTGGATTTGTAATTAAGTAGAAAAATTAAATAACACATAATCTAGCTGGGGGTTCCTCCAGAAATATTCCATGAATAATATACTAATGGCTTACAAGGAATACTCTAAATTTGTACTTCTTCCAGTCCTATTTATAGGATAAAGAGATAATATTTTTTTTAATCCTATTTATAAGTTATATCATTAAATTTTTATTATAAATTTTTACTTTTATTATCCTCTATTAAATGTTCAAAAAAAAATATATTATTTAATAAGG